TAATAAATGATAAAAAATGAGTACTTAAAAGTCAGGTAAAGTACTGATTGGCCGAGCAATTAGATATACTGCTACATTTAGTAAGGTGGGTAAAGTATAGTACAATCAGTTACCTTACAACTCCTTTAAAATGTGCTTTTATTTTTACTTATATTGAAGAGGAAATCTAAAAAAAATCCTAGAAATTAAGTTAGTGGACGATTAACGAATATTCCAGTATTTTTGTAAAGTAGCAATCGATGTGTGCAAAAATCAATAAATGCATAAACAGTATCTCATTTACAGGAGGAGGAGGTGGTGGAAAGTTTCTAGTGACTGACTGGTTTCAACATAGAACTTTGCACCGATGTGTAGCAATTCAAGTCGCCACACTCCATGTTGCACACAAAGCAAGAGAAGAAAGTAGAGACGGTAAACAGAGATATGGGGCAAAAACATTAGTAATATCGAAGAACTATATAGTTTTATTGGATATTATGATTCACAAGGAGTGGATGCATCCGCACCACCACTGAGAACAATTTTGTGCCATATCACCGATAATTGTCTCCAGCCTTCATTGGTTTTTACCGTCCTAAGGATCCCAACCAGCAAGTCTACACCGTCCTACGTGACTTAAACTAACTGTGGTAGATTTCATTGACTGATTAAGCCATGTTTTCGTTTGATCACCATTGGCTATTTTCCAATCTGATCCGACGTCAGCTAACATTGCCCGTCGTCGAGGAAGGCGATGGCTGGGCATACGTAACACATGTCCTAACAATCTCAGTCGAAGTAACTTCACAGCTTACCTAGCACTCGACATCTAACCTCAATATTGCTCACCCTATTATACCACATCTCACGGGAGATAGAATGCAGGCACCTATGATCATATCTTCCCTTATGACCAAGTCTCACAGCCCTAAAGCAGGACGAGCGGACTGTTGAGCAGTACACACGTCCTTTGGTTGATATTCATGTATAATCCCCATCCAGGTATTAATGAAAACAAAACACGTAGATCAGTGAAGAGTCTCTTTTCGGCGAATTCATTTTCTCAGCTGTACAATCGCAAGTATATATATGTTATTTTGTATGTATGTGTACGATGTTTTTTAAATCATGGAAAATTCCCATTGTAACATATAGAAAATCAAAGCATCATTGATATAAGAATAAAACTTGGGCACTGTGGTAGAGTGTAATTCCATTATGGGTAAATTTTATTTTGATAGAGTCTCACAGTGTTATACAGTCATCAGTAAATATTACTGTATAACACTGTGAGACTCTATCAAAATAAAATTTACCCATAATGGAAAATCAAAGCAAATGATTCAGCGAAGAGACTCTTTTCAACGAATTTATCATCAAGCTGTACAATCATATATATTTGGTTTCACTTGTTCCACTTGTCATTCTAAATCAATTCCTTTATGCAACATCAAATTCTATGCTATTAAATTTCACACAATATTACGTAACGTTTTTATTTTATTCGATTTGTCTACTAATCTTATAATTACACACCCTTTTTCAAGTTCTATCCATCCTATGAATTATTCTATATATGACAGTAATTTCCTTTGCCACTTGACATTTAACTACGATTATAATCACAAAAATTTTAGTTTTAATTGCATTTCATATTATTATTATTTTATGCATTCACACCTATGTTTCAATTCCCTCACCGGATATAACTTAAAAGCCGTAAATATATAGGATTGTACAGCTTGATGATAAATTCGTTGAAAACAGTCTCTTCGCTGAATCATTTGTTTTGATTTTCTATATGATTACTTTATCAAACAAAAATACAATTGGTTATAGTTATTTAAACCAATTGTATTTTTGTTTGATAAACTTATCGTACACATACATACAAAATAACACATATATACTTGCGATTGTACAGCTAAGAAAATGAATTTGCCGAAAAGAGACTCTTCGCTCATCTACGTGTTTTGTTTTCTATGGTTGATAACCAGAAACGGCGTACACTGGCGTATGCGAAATGAGCCTTCTGTATCTGTGCTGAAATTTCGTCAGCGATCAACCTGCTGGCGTTGGGTGATGCAAATTCTCAAATAAGTGAAGTGGTCAACACGCTCTACCACTTCACTCCCTATTTCTAAACTAGGAGTCAATGTAGTCAAATCCTGTAGCATCATCTTACATTTGACAAAGGGAGCGAATTGCATGCCAAACATTCGTAGATTGCAGCTCAAGATGTTCAGAAGACTCTGCTCTGTTTTGTTAGCGTCTTCACTTAGCAGGGAGGACTATATCATCTGCATATTCTAAGTCGACGAGATTATTCCCTGGTAGCAAGTCAATCCCTGAGTCGCTGAAGTTACTTACGGTTAAATCCATTAGTACATCTATGATGAAATTGAATAGAAATGGGGATAGTGGGCATCCCTGATGGATACCACTAGTTGTCACCACTTGGGATGACAACTCGCCGTTAAGCTCTCACCTGACTGGCTGCATGAGTTCGGGTAGAGTGCCTTAATCAGTGGAATGTATTTTCTCAGCATTCCCTTTAAAGACAAGCATCGCGAGAGTACCTTTCGGTCGACAGAATCGAATGACACCTTTAGGTCGAGAAATATAACGACTGTTGGACGTCGGTAACTATGCCTGTGTTCCAGAATCTGTCGAAGGGTGAAGATATGATCAATACACTCTCTTCCTGGTCTAAAGCCTTCCTGGTTCTCTCGTGTTTGTGCCTCCCGAGCACTACTTAGTCTACGCATTATTATTGAGCCTAGAAGTTTAGATACCATATTAGTCAAGCTAATCCCCTTGCGATTATCACAGGAAGACTTGTCTTCCTTCTTGAATACTGGGGTAATCACTGACTTACATCAACCCTCTGATTCCCAGACGTTTCCTAGTACCTCAGACAGTAAACTGTCTCCACTGTACTTAAATACCTATGGAGTCATTCAATCAGGTCCTGCTGATTTGCCTCGTTTCAGATTAGTGACAGCCTTATTAACCTCAGTTAGAGACGGAGGACCTGGATCTATATCTGTCTATGGCTAGGCAGGCGTAATACATGCCCTAACCATCTCCCTCAGTCGATGTAACTACATAGCCTCGTGTATTGATTTCCCCTCCTAACCTAGCATTCGACCGAAACCTAACCTCAATATATTGCTCACCCTATTATACCATTTCACACAGGAGATAGAACGCAGGCACCTATCTACTATCTTCTTCCAAACATCGAAGACGACAAGTTCGGGGGGGGGGGGGAGGAAGGCAAAAGAATAAAAGTCAACACACATTTTAATAATTACATATTTATTATTATTATTATTATAATCATAATAACAGAGAGAAAGAGAAAAAACAAGAGAAAATGTGATGTAATAATAGTACCAATAAGAAATGCCATAATTGTGCTTCGCTTCGCTCTCCTTCTTTCTTTCTTTCTTTCTCCCTCTCGTGCTCACGCGTGCTATCTCACTCTCTCTCTCTCTCCCGGTAAGTAGAATGATGAGAAATATCAAATTTATGACCAAAGTGTTTATGTACAAAACATTTATGAATGTGTATGTGTCTACACAACTTTTAACATGATTATACCAATATTATTATTATTATCATCATTAGTAGTAGTGGTAGGAGGAGGAGAAGTAGCATGACTTATAAATCCAACAAGCTAGTAAGTGTGATGATTATTTAATGACGCGATGAGTACATTTGTATACCGTTGACATTATTACTCTTACTCTTATTCTTATTGATCAACAGTAATAATAATAATAATAATAACAGAAGACGAATATTATGTTATGTGTATGAATGAGGCAATACCGTGTGTATAGGTGTGTGTGTGTGTGCGTGCATGTCTATATCTCCATTGGTAATGGTAACAAGAGGATATAATTAAGTGTAACCACAACAACAACCCACGACAACACACACACAGACAATCGACATCCTCATCATCATTGCGGTGGTGATGGTGATGGTGCGAGGGGGCAGAGGTGGGGAGAAGCCACACCACACCAAAACAATGGAGAAGAGTTCTCCAAACATCAAAAAAAGTAATAATGACGGTAGGAATAAACTGAAAGATGTGTGTATTACACAAACACACACACACACACAGACAAACGCACACAATACTTAATCAACCCACCAACGTATATAATAATAATAATAATTAGTAGTAGTAGTAGTATGTATATATAAAAATGAAATATGTACAAAAATGAGTAATAATCAAGTGAAAATAATAATAATAGGTGCATGGCGGGTGTCAAGGCCAGATGACACCTACACACCCCACCCACTACTCCCCAGCGAGTGCAGTAAAGAAATACGCACACTCCCCCCCCCCACACACACAGAGAAGAGGAAGAAGAAAGGAAAATAGAAGAAACCCACCCAAGAAATTTTCTTTAAAAAAATGACATGCGGCGTAATTTACAGAACAACACAAGAGAAAAAACGCAGAAAAAAGCGCTGGGAGGGGGAGGGCGGTAATTACTTATAAAATAGGAAAAATACTGGTATAGTTAGTTCGGAGACAGAGAAAAAAATGTAAATATATATATTTATGCGTGTGTGTGTGTGTTCCTCATTGTTCACTGATGATGATGCTTCAACACACATGTGCGTCAAGATCCGTCTGCTTCATGCAGTGTTTATTTGGTTTTCTGCAAAGTTCACGAGAAAATAAACCGACACTGACTGTAGTGACTGGCTGTAGTAATTTCAGCGCAAATTAACGACACTTCTTTAGTGGGACTGACTGATTGACTGACTAACTATTTAGTAGTAGCAAGTGATGCGTAATTAATCAATAAATAATGAATGATAAAACAGAAACTACATACAATCTGGTATTGATGTTGTTGTTGTTGCTGTTGTTCTTCTCCTACTCTTCCTTGATCTTCAGCACTTGAATGGCAAAGGGGGAGACACAAGATCGATAAACCTATCCAACAATTATATGTATATAGATATATAGAAAATGAATGAATTGAAAATCTCTAGGAAGAAGAATCACGATTACTTGTAGTAGAATAAATGCTGTCTTGATGTCGATGAGATGAATGCGATGAACTCGACCTTTCATTATGATGATGATTATGATGCCTTGAAGAAGAAGAAGGCGAAGAAGATGGATATGCTGAACTATTCTTATCATCATGATCTCGTGATCTATGCAGCGATGCTGATGACGGTGGCGTATCACGATATCGCGAATTGTAGTCATCACGTCGATGCGATGAATTATTATTACTGTCTTTCAATTGATGTGACGGATGATGTTGATGTCGATAGGAATGTTGTTGATGCTGATGTTGATGAGGATAATGATGATGTTTACGATCATAACGAGGATTATTATTACTATTATTACTACTGGAAGTAGTAATATTATGTTGTGATGATTGATTGTAATAGGATGACGGTGATTTATAATGATTAAAATTACTCGAACTCTTTGATTGATGATAAGAATGAGAAGACGATGACGATGCTGTTGGTGACGACGACGACGATGAGTGATGATGACGATCAGCCGCCGCCGTCTCATAGTGTCGATTATAATCCCGTGAGGAATCTTTCGATTTTTTCACCACCAATACATCCTCTGTATCTTTACGAGGTGTCGAAGAATCTCGTGACTTTCTCATCATTTCAGTATTTTGTTTGCTTACTATTGAGGAGACAACGATGATGAGTGTTCAGTAGTAGCATGAGTATATGAATCGATGACTTGGTGACTATTTGTCAGTAATTGGAGACATTCAGGATTAATGTTATTATTATTATTACTACTACTACCACTAAGAATTCTAATAGTATTATTATTAGTGGTATCAAAATCACTAGTAGTCTGTTCTATTGGATCCGATTTTTCATCTAATAAAGGTGTACCTGGATGATTTGGAGAAACACTAGTATTCATATCGTCGACTGCCGCCGCCGCGTCTACATCTTTTGTTGGTGTTGACGTCGTCGTCGCTGTTGTTGATGTTGTTGGATATATTAATTGTTCACTACTGGAATTTTCACCACCAACTTGTGCCATCAACTGATTGTCACTTCCCTCTGTGGTTAATATACTACCCTGATTTCCATCAGATGATTCAGGTAGGGATTTGTCCATATCTGTTGTCGTAGTTGCTGTATCGTCTAATTTCTCGACAGTATCAGCCATCATCATTTCATTATCATCATCATTAGTAGTAGTATTCAGCTGAGGTGAATCTTTTGAGTCTTTTCCACTTATAATATCATCATCATCCTCATTATCAGGTGAAGAGATATAGGATAAATGTAATAGATTTGATGTTGTTGATATTGACGATGTCGTTGGATAATCATCAGAGACTAAAGTTTCAACAGCAAATTTTGTCAATGTTTTGGACTCTTTTTCATGAATAGGAGCAGCAGCAGCGGACGCAGAAGCAGCAGGAGCAGTGGTAATAGTAGGTGGAAGAGGAGAAGAAGATTTCGACGGACTAATATCTACAATAGAATCTGCTGTAGGTTCCATCACTTCTTCTTCGTCATCATCACTAATGCTTGAAATCATTGAAATATTCATACATGATGACATTGCTTCATTTGTAGGTGGTGGTGGTGGCGGTGATGATGGCGATGGCGAGGGTGATGGTGGTGGTAATTCCTCTTTATCGACAGAAACACATGAATTAGGGTTATTTTCATTAGATAAAGGTTGAGATGGTACAGTAGCACTGGATGCTTCGCCATCTTTTCTAGGTGGAATAAACATTTCAATATCATATAATCCTCGAGTAGTAGTTTTAGAACAATCAAGTATTTCATCTTCTCCTTCATGATCATCACCATCAACATCATCGTCGTCGACTTCTTTCTCTTCGTGCCGCTGCAACTCTGATGGACTTTCAGTCTCCTCTACTACATCATCTAATCGTTTATCTAGAATATCTGTGCTGACCATCATCATCTCTGTACTGATGACTACATTTTCTACAGAATTGACCTGTGAGTCATTCATCGAATCTGGTTGAATGTTTGACAACTCCGTGTCTGCAGAAGTCACAGGATCAATACACTCTGACTGCTGCTGTTGTTGTTGTTCTGGCTCCTCATGATGCTGATGATGATCAGAGATAATGATCGGTTTCTCGTAGACAGACGATAAACCACTGGTTTGATCAACCACTTCCGTAGATGGAAGATTCACAATACCTAACGGTTGTATATCCAGACAACACGTTTCATACTCTAAGATTAAATGTGATTGACACGTATGCATACAGGGCTTATTATTATTATGATCTTCTGAGGCTTGATCCACTACTACAGCTACTGTAGCTCCTGTTGAAGACAACAAATCTTTATCTGAAGATAATTCATCCATTATTTTATCTACAACAATATTTTGACCATTATTGTTGTTGTTGGTGCTGCCGCCGCCGCCGAGATTTTCTTCATCAATTGAATTGCCAGTGTTTATTAATTCAGTTGCCTGATGAGGTGTAGTAGTAGTTATGCAAGTAGTACTACTACTGTCATCAGATATCATTTCAACAGCCGGAGTACATAATTCTGGTTCATGATGAATTAATCTCTTGCGTGTCACTACTGGACGTTTACGTTTTCTTGAAGAGCCTAAACAACTACCACCACCACCTGGAGATGAAAGATTTGAATGATCATCTGTTGTTGTTGTTGTGGATGATGAAGTTGGCGATGTCATCATCATCATCAACTGGCTGTTTGATGATGAAACACTTTTCCCAGGACTATTATCATCCAATAATGAAGAGTCTTCATTTTGTAGGTCAGGTTTAGAAAGAATCAGGGAGACAGGAGAAGTTTCATTATGCTGAATACTGGGTGAATTAATTCTGGTATTCTCTTCGTCTTTATAGTTGCTGTTATTATTATTTCTACTAGGTGAGATTGGATTATTATCTGGGAGTGTAGAAGGGGAAGATGTGCGTGCAATAGATGCATGATCTGAGCTAATGATGACTGGGAAACTGTTTTCATCAGTATTACCTTCTAAAAGATTATTGATATTCTCCAATTTTGGTGACTTCTCCGTTGAAATGTCCGTGGTGTCATTCTGACTGGTGAACTTTTTCGGACTGGCTGACAATGATACATCGACTGGTGAACGTGGTGATTTCAAAGATCTAGTAGTAGTAGTAGTATGAGTAGGAGAGCTAAATCTTCCTTTTCCACGATTAGTTGGACTTGAAACTTCAATAGAAGCAGATAAATCACGCATTTCTGTATCATCGTCTACATCGTTTTTCACTGTTACACCACCACGACCACATGAAGGCTGAGAAGCAGAAAGACGAGAAAGAATAGGAGAAAGAGGAGGAGGAGGAGCAGTCGCAGCAGCAGCAGCAGAAGGAATTTCACTTTCAAGTGATGTAGACTGAAGTGATAGTATTGCATTGTTTTGTTGTAAAGCACCTGTCTGACGTTTACGTTCTAACCAATCGACAACACGTGCTAGTTTTTCACCCTATATATTATGTGTCAAACAAACGAAAAAAAAAACACAGTTATAATCAGTAACACGAGATAAATAATACAAAAGAAAAACAAAAATAGAAATCAGGTTTAATTAAATTTTTGAAGGAATTGAAAGTGTTGGCTTGCAAGGATTGAATCGATTTCGTCATTGTAAGATGTCCGAACTGACTTCCTACTCCACGACTCCTAACTAAGCATAATACACCCATAATCCAGTCAGACATTGAATCTAGGACCTTTAGAGGTTACAAAAAAGCGAGACTGTTGACCATTATAGCCTCCAGGGATGAAATCCAAGTAGAGCCGTCCTATGATTTTTATTCAAGTGTGTTGGTTTGCAAAGATTTGACTGGTTACAGGATGCCGTCGCGGGTCTTACATCAGTTAGACAACCACTGGACAACCGCTTGGAAGCACTAGACAATTGTTTCGTCCTGGTTTGAGGCTCGTCATCAGCACACACCCCAAAGGGGTAAGAACCCAGGACCTTCCAGTTGCGAAGCAAGCTCGTACGCGATTTCATCGAGTCCCAGTGACTTAATGGTCTAAGAGCTCGCCTCGTAACCCGGAAGGTCTTGGGGTTCGAACCCCCCTTGAGGGTGCGTACTGATGAAGAGTACCAACCTAGGGCGAAATGGCTGTCCATCACTCCCAGGTGGTTTTCCACTGGTGATCAGTCCTGAAATTTACAAACCTATGATCTTAAACTAATGTTCATTCGCGCTACTTAACGCAACCACCACCACCACTAGCCAATGTCATCGGCGAGTGACTATATTGGTTACAACATTCTTACTACAACTTCAGACAGCATTATCCTAAAGTCCAGTCTCACTAGTGATCAGATTACAGGTTTTCGTTTGATCGGTTTCAATTTCGATCAGGAACTGACAACAACAACAACGCATCAGAGCACTGCTGTATTCCACACTAGGCCAACAAAACCCCTATCCAGCAGTACGCATACTAAATCAATGTCTATTCTACACTTTGCTTTATTTGAATATTTAGTATGTGAAAAAGACTACTGGAAATACGTCTCCTTGTGCTTTGTTGTTCAATTAATTTCAATTAGTGCCATCATTATAAGTGAACTGATGTGATCCGTTTTCTTGTGCTATAATGTTGTTTTTTTGTTGTTTCAATAACCATCAAGCTTTCTAAAATTAGTCTCAAAGATATGCAGTTGCCTACGTGGAACTATCGTTGACTATAGTGTTAGGCAAGGTTGGTGGCTTTTTATGTCAAACGTTCTAAATATAACAGTAATAAAAACGACAATACTACTACTACTAATAATAATAATAGTAATAATTGTTATTAAGGTGTACCATGAATGTAAATTTCAAATTTGACGGCACGCTTTACAGGCAAGCGGACAGGGTGGCGATGGGCTCCCCATTGGGTCCCACTTTGGTTGATTTCTTTGTAAGTAAGCTAGGAAATAGACCTCTGAACAACCTTATCAGTAAGTTCTCATTTTATTGCCGGTATATGGATGACACCTTCATTCTTTGTGATAATGATTCGGATAGGAGTACAATAATTACTGAATTCAATGAAGTACATTCGGCTATGAAATTCACATGTGAAGAGGAATCCCAAGACAGAATTGCCTTCCTGGATGTCCTACTTACAAGAAAACCAGATGGTAGCATAAAAAGAAATTTGCATAGAAAAAGTACTTGAACAGGACAATATACACATTTTCACAGCTTCGTTCCTCTCAGGTACAAAAGAAATTTAGTGAAGACCCTCAGCCACAGAGTAAGAGCTATATATGCTCAGAAGAAGTAACTGAAGATGAATTAGGCTTTGTATATGATACTTTGATTGAAAATAGCTATCCCAAGAAATTTATCAAGAAACACATAACAAAGAATGCGGAAAAGGACTACTCACTATCCGTAAACAAAAAGCCTCTTTATATACCACTGCAACTCAAGGGCAATATACCAAGTGAGATAATTACAAGGAAATTAAGAAAACCAGTTCAAACAACTTTTAATGCTGGCGAACTGCATGTCTTATTCTCTACACGACCGATGGTGATTCCTCAACTATAAAAGATGAAGTACCTAGACTAGCTAGCCACTTCAAATTGTATCTACTAATTCAACTGCACTCGTGGTGGAGCGAGTTATATTGACCGTTGTTCTAGGAACTTGATTTTTCGTGCTCGCTCGGGAACATCTCCCACTATGGCTAAGTAAAGGTGTAGTGAAAACCATTAACACTTCGATATTGGACCATCTGCTGCAAACTGGCCACAAAGCCAACGTGGAAGAATCCTTCTGTATAATCTACCGGGTGCCTAATAAATTGCCAAGATCGTCGAAGCACCGCATGCTCCAAACAGCAGAGGTTATTGAAGTTCGCCTCAAACAACCAGTGCTCTGTGTACAAAAGAAGCAAGTCCAGCCCCTACTACTGCCCTGGTCGGCCTTCAGTAGGGACTGTAAATTCCTGAATTTGTAATATTATCTTTCCTAATTTTTTCTGACATTCAGCTTATTTTTATGTTGATGCTATTGAGCCGTAATCTACTGATATTATTGATTCGACGTTATTTAAACACTAACGTTGTTCATAAAACTAATTTATTCATTCACTACAGTGTATATATAACTGTAAAGCCTGATGATGAAGAGGTTATCGAAAAGAGTATTCTTTGTTCAGTATCCATTCTTTTGAAAATAATAATGTGAATGATAACCAAAGTACCAGTAATTGTCATTGGTAATAATAGGCGAAATAGAACATGGTAGTGTAAATATTTCAATTAAATCAGGCACTTACATAATACTAAGGAAGAAATAGATAAACAGATAATCAGAATTTGAATATATTAAATTTATAAAAGCGAGTGAGGCGCTTTATATATTTAGTTTATTGAAGACACTGCATAATAGTTTCAGCGCTTCACATCTATCTAGTCTTAGTGGGCTCCAGTTTCGAGTCGCATTCCCCCTTATTTCAGCCTGCGTAGTATCATCAGTCCTTACATCATTATCAATGTGGTTCATAGTCCAGGACATGGGAACCTGTTAGGAGAACTAAGTGTGGATTGCTCTCTTGACTGGTTCATTCTCAAAGTTTCGTGTTGCTAATTCTTTCCCACTGGCCAGCCATTTGATCTTCACTATGGGACCAAGTAAGGAGCCAGTTGTTGTTGATAAAAGTTTGCATTAGCCTGTTGGAAATGGCTTCACTAGAGCGCTTGTCAAGTTTCCGACCCATATGGAGAAACTGACTGACTTGACGTTGGTTTTGAACAGAATCCGAATCTTGTTCTTTCTGCTGAGTGAGTGCAGAAGATTTCCAAAACCAATTTCAGATTGATGAAGGTGTATCTTGCGATTCTGATTGCTGGCCTGCTTTGACATCTTCAATCGTTCCTACTACCTGTGGTTGAAACGATGCTGTCCGCCTAGATAAGTGAAGGAAAGAAATCTCTTTCGAATTCCTCCCTTTGATAGTGATCGGTGCTGGTCGTTGTTACCGTTGGTTGATTGGTTGGTTATCTTCATCACTTCTGTCTTCTCCATGTTCATTTGAAGTCCTATCTTTTCTACTTGCCTCTTTTACCAACATGTTAGTTTTCGCTTGTAGGTCAGCGAGTCTGTATGACATTCGACGATAAATCATGCGTGAAATCGCGGTCTCTTAGAATTTTCTTATCGGTCCAACGTATTCCTTTCTCCTCGCTCTCATACACAGTCTAACACAAAATCCAGTTTAACACAATTAGGAGTATCATTGGTGATAATACGCAGCTTTGCCTGCCTCCTGTATTCACTTCAAACGCCTCTAATGAAATTACTTCCAGCTTTTGTTTAAAAAAAAATTTTCCTGGAAAGATACGAGAAATTTTTGTGAATGATGAAGGTGATCACAGGTATCATCCCTCAGGATGATATTAGGCCAACTGTTTTCACGAATTTGAATACCTTTCAACAACAACAACAACAGCAACGTGTTAGTTGGTTAGTTAGCAGTGTCGACAGGAAACCAATCAACCCTGTCTGACAGCCCTTCAACGTCAAGATAATATAGTCTTTTTTTAGAAGCTCCAGGGAAGAATCACGGAGAGGGGGGGGACAATAAAGAAGAATGAGTAGAACTCCATTATGGATAAGATTCTATTTTGATGAATCACACGGCGTTGTACTGATGACCACTTTTTGGGCACAAATTATTGCTCATGATCATATCAGGTCAGTTGTGTGAGTAGTGTCTTGATATGATTATGAGCAGTAATGAATTGTGCTCAAAACGTGGTCATCAGTAAATATTACTGTACAACACCGCTGTGTGATTTATCACAATAAAATCTTATCTATAATGGAGTTATACTCTGATTGGACACTAGTGACTAGTGTTATCCGTCTAGTCCTTTCTTTGGTACAGACTGAATTCTATCAGTCAGTCAGGTTTGCAATGTGGCCACCATGCCACTAGGTAGCTCACCATCACGGTGCACATTGATTTGATGATATTAGATGGTTGGAGGCAATCGGCCAAAGGAAGCCTTGGACCTAGGTTTCGTACTAGTTGGCACTCACCAGTCAGCAAGGCGTATCTGCAACGTTGAAGGAACCCATGTTCCTTCTGAGATTCAAACCCGCGTCACCAGCCAGTGCTGCAGTCAGAGACGCTACCACTGAGCTACCACCACAGTTCCCAAGTTTTACACTTTTATCAAGAATGAGTAGAATACGCAATAAGCTGATAAAAACCGAAGAGAATAAAAGATAGTAATGGTAATAGTAGCAGTAGTAGTAGTGGTTGTGTTGGTGTTTGTGATGGTAACAGAAAGCAAATTACCTTTTGTTTTGAATTCCCAAATGCAACCGGGGGTGGATTCTTCTCTTCTTCATTACTGGAAGACCTTTGAACAGAAGATGATGATGATGATAAAGGAGGTTGTTCTTCAAAAGTTTTACTGACTGCAGATTTTTCAGTTGTAAATGGTATTTGATCTTGAGTGAGCAGATCAGAAGCTGAATATTGTCGAGGCAAACCACCACGAATACACTGATTATCAGCTTTACGCAGGAAGCAGTATGGCTATGAGAAAAAAATTCAGAACAAAAAATTATTTTATTTTATTGTAACTACAATAAAAATGAAGCGTTTTAATGCATTTTTGTTGCATAAGTTTTTTCTTTTCTTCAAAATTCCTTTTACTAAGAAAGTGTCTAGACGACTGTGACAATGAACATCCGTTAATAAAACTTGTGAAAAAATTAAAACGGTTATTAGAGTGAAAAATGCACAGTTAAGAACAACATCATAGTAAGATTATTAAAGTACATATACTGAAGACCAACGAGAAGAAACTGGACTTAGGGAATGATATACGTCTAAAGGTGTCACATGAACTAAGTCGAAGATCTACAGTAACTGACTGGTTTCAACATAAAACTAAGCACTGAAGAAGTGCAGCAGTTCAACTTGCCACACTCCATGTAGCACACAAAGTAAAAGAACAGAGTAAAGCGACGTTCAAAAGAACAGATGTGTAAGTGAGGGAAAAAGAGGAAGTAGTAATATGGAAGAAGAATAGAGTTCTGTTGGATATGACAAATCCTAAAGAGTGAACGCATCCGCGCCACCACTCAATGAGAACGATTTTGAACCATCTTCAGCCTTCATTGGTTCTTGGCATCCTGGGGACATCAACCAGTCAGGAAGTCTACACGTCCCTACGTGGTTGGCTGGCTTGAACTAACCATTATGGATTTCCTTGACTGATTAACCCATGTTTCTGTTTGATCACCAATCACCAGCTCTTTTCCAACTTGTTCTTAAATCAATTAACATTAGACTTTGGCGAAAGAGATGGCTCGGAATGCATAACACATTCCTAACTATCTCTCTCAATCGATGTAATTTCACAAACTTGTCGACTGACCTTTCTTCCTTACCTAGCACTCGACCGAAGCCTGACCTCAATATTACTCACTCTATCATACCTACCAACTAAGACGAGAGACAGAACGCGGACACCCATGATCAAAGACAAATAGCTAGCCTGGCTTTCCATGTCTTCCACTTTCAATGGCCATATCTCGCTCATGGCCAGCCAAAAAGGAGGAGGACGGAGCGATCTACTGGGCAGTACACAATTTCTTCAATCCACAGTCAGATATCACGTCTACGCCAAATCTACAGGCGAAAATAAACAGGATGACAGAAGAAGCAGTGAAGACAAGTGAACATAGAGAAGGTAAGGGAGAGTTATGAAACTACCTAACCAACAAAAACAATGAGCATCAATAGCATCAACGAGAGAAATCTAAAGAAATTCATCTCTTTCACTCACATTAAGCAGCATCGTTTCAACTGCAGGCAACACAAATGATGCCAAAAGCAAAAAAAAGGACCTTCATTATTCTGAAGTCAGTATGGAGAGCTGCCGCACTCAAGCATTAGGAATAAGATTAGAGAATATTCAACAATAATGTCAAACCAGTGCTTCTATGTGCTTCAGAGGCTTGGCGCACCAGAGACAAAAAGCACTTCATACAGGCTTCGAACTTTTACACCAACAGCTACTACCCTCGATGGCTCCATTCTGAAGAACACATCGTCAGCTGCGTAAAGGATAAGCAACAAGAAACTCTCGCAACGATCCCACCACGAACCTTTCACCCAACAAATGTACAGAAATAAATGGAGATAGATCAGACATACGCTTAGGGGAATATTCGTTGGCATCACACACCAGACAGCCTCTTGAGTGGGACCCGAACGAGCAACAACGAGTTCGACATTCGAGGGTGACATTGAGGACGAGGAAGAGGGGACAGTTTATGGGCACTCAAGGTGCGAGCTAAAAAGGACAGCAGGTCACACGATGGGATGGAGATGTGCTGCTATTGGAGTTCTACGTTCACCACGAAACACAAGCAAATAACAATTAATCATTTATTATGATTAATTACTATCATTCTGACACATGACATACTAGAATTGATCTCCATTACAAATCCTTAATCAATATTCTATCTAGAAATCACAGATACATCTATTTGTTATATACTTAGCTATCATAAACAGCCACTTGCATTCCCACGAAGTTGGCGATGAGCTACATATTTATTGCATGTGACTGACTGAAACTGAATTTCAGCATAGAACTTTACACAGAAGTGTACCAGTTCAAGTTGCCACACTCCTCACATGTAGCACACGAAGGTAGAAAAAAGAAAAAAAGATGAGATTCAAGGAACCATAATGAATAGAAATGTACGAGAGAAAGAACGATAACACATGAAGATATGAGCGATTACAAAGAGTCAATGCCACTGCGCTCCACCGAGGAACACTACGAGCCATTTCATCAACAATCTTAAGCCGTTGGTTTCTAGCACCTCGAGGACACCACCACAGTCAGACAACCTACATTAAAGTACATGGGTCAAACCAACTGTGTGCGTAAGGGCCATAATAGTAATAATACTAACTGGCTGTCAAAATCTACGTAAGTTTAGATGGTAGTTCGAGTCCGCAGCTCACACACTGGAAGGAAGTCGGGTGCCTAATCCAACATAGCTACAGTTCAACGGCTATCATTATGGCGATGGTAATTAATAATAGTGTAAATCGACGAATCCTTTGAGAAGAATGAATATTCGTCTATCAGAACGATATTAAAGTAGTAGTAATGACCCATGAGCAAAATTTGAAAATCTTGGATTCGAGAGCACAGTAGAACACCTTTCTGTGTTTGTATGTTATGTGGATGCACTGAATTGAATAACGCCGTCACTAATACATGTTATGACAGAGTGATATTAGTTTGTGGGTTCATCTAACCGCCTCCAGGCACGCCACTACAGCCAATTGATCATCACTTGAAAATATCCTGCCACACACAGAGATAGACACAAAGACGGCAACGACGATCGATACCAATAACCACCAAAATGTTTATCAGATAAAATACATAGTATATCGTATGCACAAAACCTCAGAAATTTAAGCTTATCAATAAACGAATCAGACGCGGTCACTAATCAGGTTCATAACGCCAGTCAATACCTGCATAAAGCATAACTTCAGAGCTAACAGAGAAGCTTATTCATCTCTAACAGTTAGCCAATGTTTCTTCTCTAATATCCTTAAAATTCTTTCTCAATAAACTGCAACAATAGTTGAGTATTAAGAAAACAATATTCAGCGAAAAGACTCTCTCCAACAACGAATTTATTATCAAGCTGTACAATCGTATATATATATATATGGGTTGTTTTTAAGAAATTATATCCGGTGAGGGAATTAGATCAAAGGTGTGAATGCATGAAATAATAATAATAATAATAATAATAATAATATGAAATGTAATTAAAATGTTTGTGATTACAATCATAGTTAAATGTCAAGTAGCTAAATAATCAATGTCATATATAGGGTAATATATAAGGTGCATAGATGTTGGAAGTGGGGGTGCATAATTATAGGATTAGTAGGCGAATATAAAATGTTGCATAACATGGTGTGTGAAATTTATTATTACTATTCTCATTCAGAATTGTTTCCGCTTGTCTCACTTGTCACTCTAAATCCAAAATTATTATGTTTTTTTACAATGTTGAATTCTATCGTATCAAATTTCACACACACCATATTCGCCAGCTTATTCCTATAATTATGCACCCCCACTTCCAACATCTATCCATCCAATGAATTATTCTAATTGTTTTGCCACTTGACATTTAACTATGATTGTAATCACAAGCATTTTAATTGCATTTCATACTATTATTATTATTTCATGCATTCACACCTTTGATCTAATTCCCTCACCGGATATAATTTTTATGAAAACCACATATATACGATTGTACAGCTTGATAATAAATTCGTTTTCAAGTATTGGTTTGGTAGGGATTTTGTTTAATTATAATTGGAGGATTTCATCATGAGCTGACATCAGTTAGAGAACCATTGGAAAACCAGCTGGAAGTACTGGACAGCTGTTTCGTCAGACTAGTTTGGGACTCTTCAGCAGTACGCGCCCACCGGGATTCGAACCCAGGACCTTCTGATTACAAGGCGAGCTCGTAGACCATTGAGCCACTGGGACCCGATCCAATGGTCCTTGAATTCTAACTTCTGCCAATTCATGACATAGCGCGACCATTTCGCAATATCTTCTTAGATGAGTTACTGTCACATCTTCAACCTGCTGTACCCTACTGGTCACGGCTTCCCACTAGAACCCCAGGTTAACTGCCTGAATAGGGCCAGTCGTTGTTGTGTTCTTAATGCTACACACAATGAGAATTATTAAATTACTGGAAAAAATAGTAGAATAGTCAGAAGGAATAATACATAACATGAGTAGATTAAAGAAAGAAAAAAATTGAAGCACAACCAAAAATATATACATATAAACAAACAAACACCACACACCTTCATATTGACTTTCAGATATCCAGGAGATATTTCATCAAAGCGAAAACCTTGACCATTTCCAGTAGACGATGGTTGTTCAAACAATTTTTCACAGACAAAAAAGTGTTGAAATTCATCTGATCTAGTGCTTGTTTCATTATTGCTGTTACTTTCATTACAATTTTTCACTGTTGGCAGAAATTCTTGTATATGTTCTCTGCACAATAGATCAGCAGGTCTACCAACTCGATAAGCTGAAGGACATAACACGGTACATCGACCAATCCATGCATTCAACGGTAAGATAACACGCCTGGCCTCATCATAGACAACTTCACTAGAATGCCAGGCTTGTGGACATTTTGATGGTGAATCTGCTGTTCGAGACGGTTTAGGTATATCATAGGGACGTAGGAATAGACCACCTTCTAACCACGGAAAACCACTGAAACAAAAAAAGAAAGAAAGAGATTTAAATAGATTTAAGAAAACTTTAGTTGGATATAGTCTATTATTTTTTCTCTCTTTCACAGAGACCACAGTAAAGATGACGTCACAGTATTCTACTCGATAATGAAGTACAAACTTATGTAATACAACAAAAAAGTAAAAATCCGTTACGCAGTATTTACTAATCAATATGTGAATGTTACATTACAGTCGTTTGTCGTTTGCAAAGATTCGATCGATTTCATGTTGGACTAGACAAAGTAGAAAAGTGGAACAACAAAATTGAGCAGAAACGGTTTTTGAATTATTACATGAGCATAGTAACAAAAAACAGATCGTACAAACTGTTTCCATACACACACACACATACACACAAAGTTCTGGTATGTGTGGTTTTGCTGTGTTTGCAAAACTTTCACTGACCTTCTATGGACAACGTATTCAATGTAGACATCAATACAAAACGAACTTGTTTACATAAATGTATCGCCCGACGACATTTGTCATGATTGGTTGTTAATCAAGCTAAATATCCCCATTGAGTTATATAAAAAGAAAATACCTTCAGCAATATCAATCTCACTCAAGCTGTACAATTTCCTTTATACTGTCGCTAGAACTGTAAATTTAAGATAAATTATGCAACTCTAGACATCGTTAGCGAACAAATCATAGAATGGCAGCCAAACCTTTCTCTCTCTCTACCTCCATTTCATCGACCAATTTGAAAAGGCCTTCGAAAGGCAGCGTTGACCGCGGGGTATTGTGGGAAATGCTTCAACACTATGGTGTGCAGTGGCACAACCTCATTCAACAGCTATATGAAAATGCCACGCGTAAGATGATCCACAACAGGAAACTCAGCGAAGTCTTTGAACTGAAGGTAGGAATAAGGCAAGGTTGCTGTATACTATCACCCACGATATTCCTAGTTGTGGTGGACTGGATTAAGTGTCAGACTATGCATGGGAGTGAGGAGACAGGAATAAGCTGGACTGATCGATAAGAAAGCTCCAGAAGATTTGGATTTCGTGGAGGAGGATTTATCTTTAATATCACATAGACTAGAAGACTTACAGGCGAAAAACAACAAACTAGCTGAAGAGGCTGATAGTGAAGAGAGGACTCCACGTGAACACATTGAGGACGGAGGTGATGAAGATAACCAACCAACCAGCGCCATTTACTACCAACGGGAGATATTTGAAAGAGATTATTTGCTTCACTCATCTAAGAAGCATCATCTTAATTACAGGCGGAACATAGAAGATGTCAAAGCAGGCCAGAATCAGAATGGCAAGATACACCTTTATCAATCTGAAATCTGTTTGGAAATCTTCTGCACTCAGTCACCGTACAGAACAAGATTCGGATTTTACATGGCAATGTCAAGTCAGTGAGCTTTTCCATATGGATCGGAAACTTGGCGAGCGCTTCAGCAAAACCATTTCCAACTGGCTAATGCAGACTTTAATCAACAGCGGCCACCTTCGCTGGTTCCATAATGAAGATAAAACGATCAGCGAGAAGAAAATAGCAACAAGAAACTTTCAGAACGAACCAGTCAAGAACCCATTACTCAACAGATATGTGGGAGAAAATGGAGATGGGTAGGGCATACGCTGAGGAGACCATCAAATGACATTGCGCCATCGCCAGGCCATTGCCGGAGTGGAACCCGAATGGGAAACAACGAGTAGGTCGTCAGTGCAAGGGTGACATGGAGATCGTGCGTGTTGGAGATGAGAGATTATGGACCCAAGCTGCAGAAAACAGTAGTGAATAGAACAAAGTGGAGATGTGTTGTCGGAGTCCTATGTTCGACTCGGAACATAATAATAATAATCGGATAGAGGGGGGGGGGGGTTGAGGTCTCCAGTGTTAGGGCAGATCATCAGTTCATTATAATGTTTGAATCTCTTCTGTTTTTTCTACCTGTGTGCTATTGAAGAGTCTGTGTCTGGAGAATGATATCACTATAGTCTCTCTTCAGCGTATATCCAATCAATGATTGTTAATTTCCACCATTATTTATTTTATGGTTTTTATTGACTTGGAATCAAAGTTTTTTGTGACGTGCATTTTTCTTTATATAAAATGATCATTTAAGCCTATATCAGTAGTGTGTCTTATAATCGCTGATTTTTCTGAGTACTAGTGTTTCCACTGTTTAGAATTTCTACGATATAAGGAGGGGACATCTGAGATCCTACACAGGAATCTTAATAAAGCAGGAATTTGAGCTTTTGGATGGCTAGTGCATCGGCTATGCCTAGATGTCTTCTGCTTAATCTAGAATTCAAAGATGATATTGAAGCAGAAATCCTTCGTAAACGCCTCTGTAAATCTCTGAGGAAGACATACTTCGCCACAAGCCAACGACTAACGTTTTCCTGCAAGAAACTGTTCATCCAGAACGCGAAAGAGAAGCTGTTGAATTGGGTCACTTCAACGTGCATATACCAGTTTACATGCTCTTGCGGAACTGAGTACATCGGCCGTACCATGCGCCAACTTGAAAAACGAACTCGTGAACACTATCCAGCCTGGCTAGTAAAAGGAGAACGAAAACGTGTATATAGTTCAATGACATAACATCTAGTCAATTCAGGACATTCAGTGCCATTCGAAAAATCCTTCGAAGCAGGAATTAGAGTGGAATTAAAACCTAAAAACTCACTCAGACAGGACAAGCTCTGTAGGCTAAAATAAAATAATTTACAAAAAACCTTACAATGACTGTGAATGAGGTCAACTACATAAGTCAAACTAGTAGATAAGAAGTAATCAGACTGTTAGAACATAAGAATTTAGCTAAGGTTAGAATTTCTAACCCTGCAAAGATAAGTAATTTTGAAAAAAGCTCGGCAATAGCACTGCGTGCATTAACACACAGCCACACAATAGAGTGGTGGGAGAGGGTTAAAATTCTAAGAAGTAATATAGGTAGGTGGAGAGCGACCATCCCATCACCTTTCTTATCTAAACTTCCTGTTTATTCATGTTATTTTAAGTTTTCTTAATCCCTGTCTACACTACCATATTTTCATATCCACGGTCGGTCGGTCGGTCGGTTTTCGACATAGAACTTTGCACATATGTGCGGCAGTTCAAGTCGCCACAATCTATGTAGCACACACTTCCTGTTTATTTTGTCATTTTATTATTTCTACATATTTAATCCCTGATTGCATAAACAATTATTCATCACACTAGTTTCTTATCCAAACATCCTGTATATTTTGTTATTTTTACATTTCTAACCCCCAATCGCACAATGTCAATCTTCTTAGTTATTATGCTACTTTGTTTGAGTTTTACCCATCCCCCTGTTTATTATGGCATTCTAATTCCTAATTGTAATTTTATTAATTCAACCCCTAACCAGAAATTGTTCTGGAACTTTCCCATCCATTTGATATAAATACACGAATGTACAGCCTAGATGATGACTTCGTCGAAAAGAAAATTTTCTTCGCTGCAACTGTCTTTTTATTCCCTATGATCAAATGTGTATATTCCGTGATTTGAAAACGAGCAGAGACTGATTACTGAATCCTGGTTCATCGAATAATCTACACCCAACACAAGCAATAGGTGACTCAACGCAAATACCAGAGATATGTATGGATAACACCAGTATTGTTTCCGAATGTATTCTATCTTCCTATCTGTTTCACGCATGTTTTATTCATATGTCTAATCAATTCCTATTCATGTATATAAACGAAGCATGAAAGTTATGTGAGTAGTGCCTTGATGTGATGATTATGAGTAATAATAAATTGTGCTCTAAACGTGGTCATTAGTAAATATTACCATGTGTTTTTAACGAAATAAAATTTTATCCATAATGGAGTTATACTCTACCACACTGCCCAACTTTTCTCCTGATATCAGTAATAGAATTCCTACAATTTCCCAGTCTCAAACGATGACCACATTTATCTACATGCATCGATATAAAAAAGAATACATTTCATATCTTTTGCTAGTTATTCCATCCACAGAAAATGTACTTCGTGTCCCTTTTTTTCGGTCAATACTGTCAAATGTTGTGACCAATTTTACAGAGTACAACATACATCACAACCTGTGTGGGGCGATTATCAATCAACTATATGTTGCGATGTATGCATATATAGATACATAAATTAATGACTCTAAAGCTCTCCTTTGCTCAGGTTAGCTGGGATGTAAATATGCGGAGCTGTTTTCCGACCTCATCTATCCTATGTCAGTCAGGTAACATTGCCCATTGTTGAGGATGGCGATCGATGGCTAGGGGGGATGCTTGCGTAGCACATGTCCTAACCATCTCTCTCAATCCATGTAACTTCACAACCTAGTAGAGTGACTTTCCCTTCCACCCAGCTAGCACTCAGACGAAGTCTAACCTCAATACTTCTCACCTTGTTATACCACTTCACACAGGAGATAAAACCCAGACACCTATGATCAAAGACAGTTCACCGGCCTTTTCGTATCTTCCACTTTCAATGACCATGTCTCGCTCACAGGCATAAAGGGGAGAGAGTGAGCGGACTGCTGAACAGTACACACGTGCTTTGGTCGATAGCCGGATATTACGTCAACCCCAGAGAGATGACAACACAGATATATATAGCAGACAAATGTATAAGTGCACACACGCACACTCATGAAACTGTACAACCAAAGTAACATTTCTTTAACATTGAAATGCAATCATGTACGGTTTAAATCACTCCTAAATTTCAAATTTATACAGAAACAACATGCGTTTTGTACATTTCGTTGTGTAAGTCAAAGCTTCTTCAATAAAATTTACTCAGATTTTATCAGTAACCGACATATACATTAGAAAAGTACATAAAATAAAGAAAAATACTTGGGTGAAGGTCATGATTTTCGCGAGGGGTGAATGTTTCAATATATATATTGATGAAATCTGATTAGTCATCATGTATGCATGTATTTTTATTGTTATTTATTTATTTAATACGAAAGAATTTAATTTTATGATCATTGTTGTTCAAAGGTGAAGAAATTTATTGATTTTGTACAACTAGACAACGTTACCATGTAGATGATGATTTTACACATTAAATAATTTAATATTGATCATCCAATCGGGCTGGATGCTTGAATTTTTCTGGGCAATAAGCAATAAGGTAGTTTGAATATGTATGAGTGAAGTAGGATATATGAACTAAAGGTGAGATAAATAGCGTCATTCTAAGACTGTGCGTCGGTGGTACAGTGGTTAGGACTCTCACCGACCATGCACACGGTCCGGGGTTCGATCCCCTGTCGACACACCCGATATCTATGGTCGGCCCGCAAAATTTGGGCTACCGATATCACATGCTGAAAATTCCGTACCTGTACCAAAAATACGGAGTGGAATCAAGCTGTAATCAAAAATAAAAATAATAAGTAAGTCATGCGCCAATGGTGTCAGCTGTTTTTCCCTCAAAAGACACGAGACTTCGGATGGTCGAAGAGGGTTAGGCTTAGACCTACCTCTTGATATCCCTCTCATGTAACCCACGCGTTTATAGCCAACTCTGCCAAGTAACTCCTATTCAATCCAGTACCTTTACGCGCCGGTTAAGGTGTTCCTCAGAAGAAAGTGCGAATGAGAGAACCTCTGGCGCTTAACAACTAGACTGACTGATGGACATATAGGTCTACACCTAGGGAACTGTCTGTTTTCGACACAGAACTTTGCACCGATGTGCAAATCCTGATTCCGAAACTACGACGATGTACATGGGTAACACGATCCGAACGGACCAAAGGGCTAATGATGGACGCCACCTTGGTCACTGAAAAACATAGGAACGCAGCTCTACAGCCTTGTGATTGACATTTCAAATCAAAGGCTCGGTGGGAGGAGGTGACCTTCTAATAAGACAACTACCTTCCTCAGTCTAGGTAGTATTTCTGTTCCCGCACAGAATATGAGATCTTGTATGGCGCATCTGTTAGTGTCCATAATATAATAATTGTCTGCTCTACAGCCTAGCCGATAAATGGAGATGTTAAAAAGGAGGTGGACGGACACTAAACTTTTCAGTACATCCTCCATTTATCACGCCAGGCATCGTAGCCTATAAGTGATAAGATTTTCATATCTTCTTCTAGCCCCCAGTACTAACGTAAAACACGACAGAAAGAAAGAACATTCTCACCAATAAAACGAAAAAAGAGATGAAACTTACTCAACATCCTTCCACAAACGGTATATTCGAACTATTACACGATCATAAGCTGATTTCACCGGTGTTCGTTGAGATTGCTCTAAAAGCTCTTTGATATGCACTGATGGGATTATGCCTTTTGAAATATCCTGAGAAGTATTTAAATGGTCTAACCAAAAACGATTAACAAATGCATAATCATCTGTACGAATTTGGCATGTCCCATCTGGACTACCCAGTGTCCAGAATTCATGTTCCCCTTTGACCAATGTGTCTTGTAAATCAAACACAGCGTCTAAATCGTTTAAACTCATAGCTGCAGACAATGAACGTGGATATTCCTGAAATGCATAGAAATGAAAAGGTCAGTGAAACAATAGTGATATGCAGGGGTAAAAACACACAGAGAAGAAAATGTTTTCGTTTGATAAAGTCTAGTGGTAGTTACGTCAGGAAATCGGACAAGCAACAAACTCCAAAAAGGGACCTGTCGCCCAATATGAATTGGAGGTACATTGAGAAGACCCTTGAGTCATATATCCAGCGCCAGGCCCTGGAATGGAATCCCAATGGGGAACGATAAGTTTAGCACAGTTTCGAGGGTGATATGGGGGAGGGGTCACGTTAGGAGGAAATGAAAGCTCATGGGCAACAGAGGAGCCAGCTAAATGGCACTGCAGAGAACAATGAAATTTGCCGCTGCTGAAGGAAGATATTCCACTTATCCCACAAGCTGACATGTGAGCACAAACAGTTCTCTATGAATGTGATTTTTTGGTTACAGGATTTCATCATGAGCTGACATTAGTTACAGAACCATTGGAAAACCACCAGTGAGTAAAGGACAGTTGTTTCGTCCCAGTTTGGGACTCTTCGGCAGTACGCACCCAGCAGGGATCGAACCCAGGACATTCTGGTTACAAGGCGAGCTCGTAGACCACTAAGCCACTGGGACCCGATCTAAGGACCCATGAATTCCAACTTCTGCCAATTTACGACATAGCGCGACCACTAGCCAATGTCTTCGGTAGGTATTTGTACTCACACACGACCTGCTGCACCCTACTGGTCACAACTTCCCACTAGAACTACCTACCTGAATAGGACCATTCGCTGGTGAGCATCTCCAACTCCCTACAAATCATTACTTGAATGTGATTTTTTTAGACAGACTCAATTATCTTTCCATAAAAAGTATATATCGGGACAAAAGAAACCACTGCTTAATATTTTCATAGCTGTGAGTGAAGTATTGATCACTGAATTCCGCCATTATCCCATCTAAACATTGTAAAAATTTCCACAGAAGATAGGAAATAAACATTAACTTTGATTGATCCCTATGGAGTAGGCAAAGTCATGTGTTCAGTCCTTGGTGTGCATGCTAACTCCATCCTACCAGTCTAGTTTACGATGCAGTCAACTAAACTAGATAACTCACCAACGTGGTTAGCAGCTTTTGAAATGATCGTAGATGATTGGAGCTAAGAAGTAGAAAATCGACGATCTACGGCAACAGTGCTTGTTGCCAGTCGTCGTTACGAAGACGTTTGTGCATCTTACTCTCTGTAAGGATATGAATACACCACACAAGCCAGAGGTCGTCAGAAGAAAAACTGTTTTAAAGGGTACTTTTATCAAGTCGTGAGTCACATTAAGTACTTAATCAAGAGGTATGGATTCCATTTCGTGGAACAGCTAAGAGCTACACACACACTTATCGTGTGAGGGTTGATGATTCTGCCCAGCTGCTTAAGCTGAAGTAGCGGTTGTAAACATCAATATCTAGTCCACTAACCTTATCCACAATTATTTTACATTATTCAATTGGGTTCCAAATAGAACATAAGGCTTCGATAACACACCTCCACTTTGTTGTATATTCTGCCCTCCTCTCTAGAGGGGCCTACTATTAACTATAGTCTCTCATCTTCTGCCCACACGATCTCCTCCACGTCACCATCGCACTGACGACACAGTCGTCGTTTCTCATTCGGGTTCCACTCTAACGATAGCCTGGTGCACGGAATTATTTTACATAATTCAAATTAAGTGGACATATCACATTTACCCTAAATTATCTGTTTCCCAATTTGGATAACATATTTAGATGATCACATGAAACACCGACTGTCAGAGAATGTCAACCCAACTCAAAAAGGCCGTGTGACCGGCCTCAAAGCAGCTCTACGACCACGTAACACCAATATTCTTTCTGTTTCGGGTACCCCGAGAAAAAATCAACTTCCACGATGTAGGCAGACGGGAAGTGACAACCACCCACATACACCTCCGGAAACCCTCCAAGCTCTCCTGAATAGTAGAATGCTTGCCAACCGTGCAAATTGTATCGGTTTGATGGTCGACTGATTCACTTACACACCTCACCTAGTTTACTAGCCAATAAATAATGAACCCAGAATAGACAGAAGGTTGGCAACCCCCACTCCGTGGAAAAGGCAACATTACTCCATGTTCCATATGGAATATTACAAGAAGACGTGAAGTTTCTACCAACATATAACGGAAAATACAGATCAACTTTATTTTTGGAAACGGGTGTGCTTTTCTCTATCGGCTAAAAAATATATGAATGCCGGAATCATGGTAAAAATTTTTCGGATATTATGAAGAAAATGGTACCTCGGACTACAGCGGGGTGAGGCATTTGAGATAAAAATAATACATCCTCATGAGCAGACTTACTTTCGTCAAATTATCCAATTTCAAGCACACTGGACAGATGTATGGCGCATCAGCTTCTCGATCAGCACCAGCACCACCACCACCACCTTCTGATTTGACATCATTACTCTCTCCTGTACTGCCAACAGCTTGAGCAGCAATCAATGCAGTTTGACACAGACAAGACAGATTTGAATTTCTTCCATCATTTGTATCATTGCGAATAGCAAGGCTCAGTGCCCACCATAAACATGGGAGATGTTGCCAAGATGCACAACGATCACATTGAACCATAACATGACCACCTTCAACACGAAAACCGCATAAACATCGGATAACCTCAGCACCACGTTCCAAAGCACGACGATCAGCCTATAATGATAATGATAAAGATAGATAGTGGGAAACGCGGCTATAAAACCTTTTCAGAGATAAATAAGGTAAGGTTAGTATTGTAAAGAAGAAAAGACCGTGGAGGCTGAAAGGAATGTTTCTGGTATCCTACTTATATCGGATTATAAGTAGCACTCACCACAGTATTACTCTCCAGACCAGTAATGAGATATAAACAACTTCAAAACTTGTGAAGAAAATTGCATAATTTTTCAAATTTAGTCATCACATGACAAACCCTTGATGAACTGATTTCTGATAATACAGGCTGATAAGAATCGTAATCATTTGCGAAATGGAATAAAGATAGTAGGTTGGATTATAAACTGTACCAATATGTGCATAAAATCTCTACCCCTTATTACTTACTAGTGTTGATAACTTGACTACCGTTCAAATTTTAGTTGAATTCTATTCAAACCCGTCAGTAATATTACGTCACTTAAGTTAGTTATTTACTTTTTATTTTAGTTTCTGCCCGATGGACGCTTTCCACGTTACGTAACGGGTTATCTAAAATTTACAATTCTGACACATCATCCTGGAAATATTCATTTTGTTGCTAAGATAATTTATTATATATATACGCGAATGTACAGCTTGAGAATGATATCGCTGATGAAAAGAGTAACTTCAATATTCTCATAATTTATTCAGAACAAAATATTTCGAGCGAACAATTGTTTTCAATAAATTCTTCTTCAGGCTCTACAATTATAAATCCATTAATTTAAGCATACAATAGCCAGTAAAGGCAAATTAGAATCATATCAGAAATGTGTATTGTGGAACAAGTATAAGCTGGGATGGAACAATAGTCGGATAGTTTTTTTTAGTATGCATGGTCAATGAGAACATGGAACAAAATGATATGAAGTAATTTAATGTAAAAGAGTAACTCTTCGCTGAATCCCTTTCCTTATATGAACTGATAGACACAGAGCGTTGTGACTGTATGGCTGCAGTGAATGAATCCCTCCACCACCAAAACGTCTCCTCTCTGCATAACTTTTCATAGGCATTAATCATGCCAACGGAATTGAACGTCGACGTCAAAATGGGATTTGGACATTGTAGTAAAGTATGATGGCATCATGGAATAATTTTACTTAATAAAAACCACACAGTGATATAGTATAATTTTGGACTACTCAGATGAAATAATGCACCGAAATTCCCAGTGGGACTCGAATCTAACACCCACCTATCGTGTTTCAAACACCTCAATAGACGGAGAGCCATCAATCTTTTATGCAAAAGGTATCGACTCTTATATATGAAAAAAAAATCAAATTTGTATTTCCCTCGTTGGAACTGACGAGTCATAAATTGAAGGAAATGAGCACATCCTAGATTCTATTTGCTGGTCACCATCATCCACTACCAAAAACGATGAAAACGTTAATCTTCAAACACTGTCCAAGAAGCGTTCATTCTAGGAAGAGCTGACATGTCAGCTGCGGTTCAATATAAATTGGCAATCAACCAGCGGGAAGTACAAAATATTAAATTAAAAACAAAAAACTTTTTCTGTTTCATTTTAAAGCGAGTTTACGGTGAATTTTGTGCTTGCAACCGGGGCTAGGGGTAGTGCACACCTTCACCTCCCCAAGCCGATTGCAAGCTCGACAAAAAGGGATGGTTGGCCATGCGACTAGAGCAACCTCATCCTGTAAAAAAACACAATTGCTAGTGAAACTACAAAGCTCAAGTTTGGAGCCTTATGTTCCACTTGGAACGCAAAAGGCTAAATGACTTTAAAAAAATTTTGTTGACGTAAACACTAAATAACTCCAACATATGGGTTATTGACCCCAGCAATTCCAGCGAATTCAACTCCAGCTAGCGCCAAAATACTTCACAACCTGGGTGGATTGGAAAAGCATTACCCACCGCCCCCCCCCACATTAATAGAGGTATTACTTATGACCTGGGATAAATGGAAACACTCCTTTTCAGGTGTGGTAAAATCAAGACACCCATTGGAAATTTTTAATACGCATACGAAGCCAGAAATACAATATACATCCTTCCTAAAATAAAGCTTGGCACTCAATAAAGAAGAATACAATAACAGAAGTGACACAAAGGGTGCTCTTTGATAAAATAAGAGAACTAATAACAAAATTTAATGTGAAATAGATATAATCATCCCACTTCAATCACTAACCTTCTTCTTTGTAGTGCTGTTTTGAAATTTACTTCCAGCTAGTGCAAGTGATTTAGGCATAGCAACGGGGACACAGTTCTGCAGCTTTAAACACTCGACCATATCAGTCTAAAATAACAGAAGAGAGACAGACAGAGAAAAAAAGCTGTACGATAATAGCATTAATTCATGGTAACACATATTCATGGCATTAGCGATCTTTGTTAAATACCAGAAATTGGTGATTAGTAGCATGTACATGGTGAACTGATGGTGTTGGCGACGTTCAAAAGACAGATAATATATAGAGGTGTGAGTGATGGAAAAATAGTAATATAGAAGAACAATAGAATTTTATTGGATATGTCAAATCACAAAAAGTGAATGCACCTACGCCACCACTCATTGACAACGATTTTCAGCCATATCACTAACTGTCTCCAGCCCTCATTTACAATAGTTTTTACCATCCCGAAAACTCGCACCACGCAGTCAGTCTACACCTCCTTACGTGGTTGGCTGGCCTGAACTAACCGTTATGGATTTCCTTGACTGATGAAGCTATGTTTTGGTTTGACTACCAACCACTAGCTCTTTTCCAACATATTCTTAAATCAACTAACATTGGCTTTCGACGAAGGCAATGGCTCGGAATGTGTAACACGTGTCTCAACCATCTCTCTCAATCGATGTAACTTCTGTCTGTCTGTCTGTTTTCGACATAGAACTTTGCACATATGTGCGGCAGTTTAAGTCGCCACACTCCCTCCATGTAGCACACAAAGCAAGAGAAGAAAGTAGAAGAAATGCATAATATAGACAGTAAACAGAGGTCTGAGACAAAGGAGTAGTAACCTCACAACCTCGTCGATTGTTTTCCCCTCCTTGACTTAACTAACACTCGGCGTCTAACCTCAATATTACCCACTCTATCATACGTGCCACCTAAGACGAGAGACAGAACATAGATACCTATGATCAAAGACAGATAGCTAGCCTGGCTTTCAATGTCTTCCACTTTCAATGGCCATATCTCGCTCACAGCCACTAAAAGGAGGAGGACGGAGCGAACTGCTGGGCAGTACACAAGTCCTTTGATCGATAACTACCTGAATATAACGTCTACATCAGAGATGGCGCAAGTTGGTATATGTCAAACGAGGCGTTTGTATCTGTTCTGCGATTTCGTTAGCAATCAACCAGTTGTGTCTGATGCTATTTCACAGATAAATTAATTAGTAAACCCGCTCCACAACTTCACCCCGGACTATCTGTAAGCTATAAGTCAATGTCACATTAACTATTAGTAGTATAAAATTTACAATCAGGATTTGATCGGAGCAGTTAAATGTAATATAATAATTTGAAAAGTAATGTGATTTTGTTCAGAATTCTAGTACGGTTTCCGGTTATCTCTACAATTAAATACCAAAACAAAAAATATCGAACCTTTCTTTGAGTGTATCTTGCGTGACTGCTTATATTTAACTGCACATTATCATTGAAATATAAATCTCTAATTTCCTGTCTGTTTTACATTGTCCCACAATCTGCGAGATGTTTCTTTTATTCCTTTGCATCCCGAGTGGAAAAATGGGCCTCGAGCTTTAAGCTTCGGAGTTTCAGTAGTGGTTGTGTTGTTTTTTAACGGAGAAGCGTGTTACTAGCCTCACCTTCTTTCTTTTCCAAGCTTACTATTCACTAGGTGAGGGGATAGGGAGGCAGTTAAGGGTGTGTTTAGCCGGGGAACTGAACCTAGACTAGGTGTGCGCTCGGCAAGCATTCTACACCTGAACCAGCGCGACGCGCAGTCGACGTGGTAATGGGGAGATATTATCTAGAATGCAAGTCAAAGACAACTAAACATCCCATCCACTAGCAAAACAGGCGCCCAGAATCACAAAAAACGGCCAAAATAAAAACACAAAGATTAAATTCTTTAAAAACAACAAAAACTTACACGATGCTTTACATAAACACTTTTCAACTGTGATAAACGTCGACCAAACCAACTACGACGTCCAGTAAAAGCTTCCCATACAGAGAATATATTATCCATACATATATCCAGGATATGTAAACTCTCCATAAAATCAGTAGAATTTGTTACAATTTTATAGGAATTCTCTTCTGCTTCTGAAAGTTCTAAATTCAATGGAACTACAGATGTAGGACTAGTCGAATTCTCCCCTGTATTGTTGTTATCATTATTATTGTTCATTACAAATCTTGACGCAATACTAGCTAAACACAGAGAAGGGAATTCAATTTTGTAAATTTCATCATCCATTATTATCCCATCATCATTATCACTGGATGGAAAACTGACTGGAGAAAATAAACGATTGATAAAGTCGGTTGTGAACTTCACTTGTAAACCAGAACCCGATAGATGAGAAGACAGGGTGAATCGATAGAATTCTGGATATCTGAAACAGATGATGAGAAGTTTTGAAGATTGAATGGAATTAACCCTCTAGAAGGGTGACATTTATGTGAATAGGGTGAATCACGAACCGTATCAGAACACACACACAAACAAACAAACAAACGACGCAACATGCATTACAACACATCAATCCAGATTAACTGAAAATTAATCTTATGCTCGCTAGTGACTGGCTAAAAGATGGATGGAGTTGTAATGAGTTCCAGTGAGAAGTCGTAACCAGTGGGGTCCACAAACTGGTCAGGAGTGAGGGCAAATACTCGTCAGCAACGACATTGGTTGGTGCCAATCACTCTAAAATCACCAATTGACAGGAGTTAGAATTCATCGGCTGGTCGTTGTCGTGGGTTCCAGTGGTTGAATGATCTACGAGCTTGCCTTGTAACCGGGAGATCCTGGGTTAGATATAATAGAGAAGATTTGCAGCTCAGGTGGATGATTTTGGTGTGGTTGTGTTCTCTGAGCTGGATGGTTTGGTTGCGAAGCTTTCATTGCTCTACTGAGCAACATCTTCAGCGCATACTTCGATGTGAAGTGAGCTTTTAGAATTCTCTATGAGTTTATTAGTCATCTCTTCTAGTAACCTTGAACGTGATTGGTTGTTTTCGTGTGACATTTCATCCCCTAGTTTGCTTGTCTCGGTGCTGGCTGCTTCTTTGGTCTGAATGTCGTTAGTCATTCCTTCAAGGTTAGCAGAAGGAATGACTAACGACATTCAGACCAAAGAAGCAGCCAGCACCGAGACAAGCAAACTAGGGGATGAAATGTCACACGAAAACAACCAATCACGTTCAAGGTTACTAGAAGAGATGACTAATAAACTCATAGAGAATTCTAAAAGCTCACTTCACATCGAAGTATGCGCTGAAGATGTTGCTCAGTAGAGCAATGAAAGCTTCGCAACCAAACCATCCAGCTCAGAGAACACAACCACACCAAGATCCTGGGTTCGAAGCCCGGCGAGTGAGTACTGCCGATGGGTCCAGTACTCCTTGCCAGCTTTCAATTGTTCTTTAACTGATATCAATCCGTTGTCAAACTTATCATCAAATGCCACAGATTATACGGGAGAGTGGCCCGCATATGCATACCACCGTGTTTATCAAAAGGAATATTACTAACAACATAGAGGATATACACTTCACAAGTTAAACATATTTCGCTAACTAGCTTACTGTTACATTCCAGAGACGCCCATACGGTGCTCACTGTGTTGCTAGCTTGCTCTGAGACTGGGTAGGAAAAGTGGAAGGATGGTTAGTCCATAAGATGGCGCACCATTGTTTCTCCATAGAGTCGCTCGGTGAAGTAATCCAAATCAGTGGCTCCTGAAGTTATCATCATATATGATGACTGACATTAATAATAAGTGGTGGGGATGATGCTGCAATTTCCTCATTTCTTCTCTTTCCGAAAGTAACACGACGTGCAGAACACTCCTTAAATGCACTTCATTTAAATACGCTCGCGTGTTTTGATGATTATGTTCCTCAGTTATTCGACTTCATTTCCAAATATTGCTTTATTTTATTTATATTTTGCGGTACACGGCCTCAGTAAAAATATGCAGTACCATGTTTGTGTAATAGTGATGATAATAGGTAAATGACTAACTTACTCGAGAATATCTCCCACTATGGCTAAGTAAAGGTGTAGTGAGAACCATCAGCAGTTCGCTATTATACCACCTATTCCAAACCGGCCAAAAGGCCAGCATTGAAGAATCTTTCTCTATCATCTGCCGGGTGCCAAATAAACTGCAAAAAACATCGAAGCACCGCAAGCTCCAAACAGTGGAGGCTATTGCAATTAGCCTCAAACAACCATTGCTTCGTATGCAAAAGAAACAGGTGCAGCCAGCCACTACTACTGCCCTGGCTAGTCTTCAGTGGAGACTATAAATTCATGAATCTGTATTGTTATTATCTTTCCTAATTTTTCTGACATTCAGTGTGTAGTGTTATGTTGATGTTATCGAAGTGTAACCCATTGATATTATTATTATTCCTATTGATTCGATGTTACTTAAACAACATTAATGTTGTCAATAACACTAATTCATTCATTCACTACGATTATGTATGTATAACTGTAGAACCTGATGATGAAGAAGAGGTTATCGAAAAGAGTATTCTTTGTTCAGTAACCATTCTTTTGAAAAAAAGTTTTTAATACTCCTAGATATACCAATAGGAAGGATTCCACCCATATAGCCAATCTCTATTGATATCCATCTATGAGAGTATGCCCAACCATAATCAAACTAAATCACAAGCATTAAGATGTAAATCGATAACCCATCTTGTAACTGAGATAACAATAGAGGGGCTAGCAAAATTGTTATACTTCCATGATAAACATTCCATACAACCTGCGATCATCTCCTCTATGGAGTTTAGGTGCAAAATCATTAAACACAACAGAAATGCAACAAGTAAAAAGATTTTGAAAAATATTGGAGGTTAGAGGAGTATCAAGAATTCTCTCTCTCTGACAAGCGACGAAACCATCACCTAACAAGGCATGCAGAAAGAAATGGAGATGGATTGAACATACGCTAGCTCAGGAGACCGTTGACAGTGACATCACATGCCAGAGATACCCTCAAGTAGTGAAACCAAAAGTGAGAAATGAAACTAGGGCATCACTTCGAGCGTGACATAAAGAAGATCGTGGAAGGGTGAAATGAAAGGCTCAAGAGTGGGGAGTTGTAGGAAGCAGCTGAAAGAAAGGGATAGCAGAGAACAGACTAAAACGGAGGTCCACTACTGAGGCTCTGTGTTCCATTAGGAAATCACGAGGAGAGTAATATTAATAATAAGTACAGAAGTACATTCTTTGTTGAATTATTTACCTTTCAGGTGATGGTAAATAAATGATAGGAGAACACAGTCGATAATTTGGTTCAAGAGGATCAGGTTCATTGAAGAATCGACAGAATAATTCATACAATGGACCAGTTAACGACTTATTCTTGAGGAAAGAAATTTGATCGAGGCTGCAAAAAATGAAAAGAAAAGAGATTGAACAGAGAGTAATAAACTTGAACAATTAATAACAGATATATATATATATATATATATAAATATAAAATTATGGAGCTGTTTTATTTAAAGACATTGTAATAAAACAAATATCATTATTCACACCTAGAGACGACATAAGGCGTCTTTAGAGCCATAAAACTAAATGTACATTAAGATAGCAAAACGAAAAATAACTCGTACAAATCAATATCTGAAGAATTGTAGAAATTGTAGCAAACACTGTATCAAACAACACATAAACCCAATAATCCTCTACGTCTTATATATTATCAGTGTACGGATCGCCAACACATATACTGGCTAAATGGTAGGTTAGTTAGTTACTTCGTAGGAACATTGCACCCAGTCCAATCAAAACCCAATTCTATAAGTATGTACTAAAGAAGACATTTGAACTGATTAATTATTTTGATGCGTCCGGTGGTACAACGGTAGAATGCTCGCCGACCACGCTATACGTGGTCCGGGGTTCGACCTCCGGCCGCCGACGCACTCCTTCACCTCGCTCAACCAGTATTAAGACTGGTAAAGAGGGAAGGTTGGGCATTAGGCAGGCTAGCAACCCCATCTCGTAAAAGTAAACACCGCTGCAACCGAAACTTCAAGACTCCAGCTTTAAGCGCCCTATGTTCTACTGGGAATGTAAAGGAATTATATATATATATATATAATTATCTTAATGATATTAATGTGCGTTGGTGGCATAGCGGTTAGGACGCTCGCCGACCATGCACATGGTCCGGGGTTCGATCCCCGACCGACGCACTCCTTTACCTCGATAAGCATGCCAGAAATGATACTGGTGAAGAGGAAAGGTTGGGCATGAGGCTAGCAACCCCACCCTGTAAAATAAACACTGCTACAGAAACTTCAAGCTTCTAGCTTGAAGCCCTATGTTCCACTGGGGAACATGAAGGAAAAAAAAAGATATTAATATTATGAATAAAAATATAGGTATTCTTTTGATGTCAACTCTTTATTCACTAATGTGTCGTTACTTAAATCAATTGACATTTTCTGTTGTGATTACATTCCCACACATAACTTTTTTATCCCATTCATTATATTTTATTTAAGGGATTTATTACTTCTGTGTACTAGCAATGTTAAATTCACATTTGAAGGTGATTTCTTCTGTCAGGTCGATGGTGTGGTTATGGGAAGTCTGTTGGGGTCCCTTTTAGCAGATATCTGCATGTCATATATTGAAAGTTTGTCGTAAGATATAATCAAAATGTTGACGACATTTTAATCTTAAGTGATAACTCTTGTTCTGCCACCTCAATATTAAATCGACTGGTGAATGAAGTTCAGAATAGCATATCACTTATGTCTGTCTGTAGAAGAGGAAGATAACTGTTTATCTTTCCTAGATAATATATTGCTTAGTTGACGGCTTGATGGATCAATAAATCGATCTATTGATATAGAAAACCTACATAGACAGGACAGTACCTCAATTATCACAGTCCCCACCTTGTTCAGTATAAAAGAGCCTTAGTGAGCGAGGTACCTCTTCTGTAGAATCAATGAATATGCACCGAAGACACACTTGATGATGATTAAGAAAGAAAGTTGACACAAACTCTGGTTGATAATAATTATCCAAACATGTTCATTAGGAGATATAAAGTAGTCAGAACATCAAGATTCCCTTTCTCCAACTTACCACTAAGAAAGACGTGTACATCAAGCTACCCTGTATGGGTGATCATAGCAGCTTGACAACTAGACAAAGATTGAACGCTGCGGTTAAAAAGACCTTTTCATGCAGCTAAGATCATAATAATTGAGAATATATTTAATCAGTCGAAGAAGATACACATGATTACGGTTTCAAAACGCATTAAAATATATGCGTTAAAAAAATCATACTTCTTCATATTATGCGCCTGTTCTCATTTCCCTGACCAACTTGACCACCACCTGATAAGTGACCAAGATCCTCGAATTCACAATCATCATATGTACAATAAATGGTGTTTTGGTAAAAGCAAATCAGAGAGAGAGAGAGAGACAGAAGCAGCTCCCACCCTTGAAACTCTCATACACAAGTACCTAAAATCTGTTTTCTATGATTAGTTTCATCGCAACGTAGAATACTTACTCGCAATAATATTTCGTCAACTGAAATGTGATTAGTTTAAAAGTATGTGTGGTCCACAGCCAGACAGAAACACATAACACTTATCTATGTTAAATTAATCTCCTTCCTTCGTGCATCGGTGGAGCGATGAGACAATGCTAAGGAATCAACGCAGGTAATCTGAGTTCAATATTCCTGGCCAAAAAACTCTTAAAATCTACCCTGTTTACCAGCCAATAGTATTTCCAGTAAAGAGGGAAGCTAGAACATGAGGTTAGCTAGCAACGCAACCCCACGAAAATAAAAGCACCACCGCTAGTGAAACTTCATAGTTCAAAGTTGTGAAGCCATATTGTTGTAAACGCAAAGCAAGGTGTAACATCAAAATAGACATCTATGTTAATATTCCCTTGTTTCATGTTCGATTAATTGACTTCTTTGCATTTTGTGTGCTTTCTTCAGCTGTGGGGTGATTGTGCAATGTTCTACATTGACATAACTGCTTGCAGTGTAGCCAGAATTCTATCCGTAAGTTTTCTACTTTTTCGATAATATAACTCTTTTACGGATAACCATCTCTCAATACGCAATCCATAGGAGAATCTCCTCTGCATACAATCAAATCTAAGAGGGAAAATCAATTATTTCCCCTTTAAAGAGCATGAGAGAGAATGCATTTATTCCACCAAGTGGAATTCAATTCGAGTAGTAGGTAGACGAGACAGCCTACCTACTATCACTCATGACATTCCATAATTGTCGTGTAGAGGATCATGTGGTAGACTATAGGGAGCGAGAAGAAAAAAAGAAATTGGAACGAAAGGAGATTCTAAAAGATTTGGACCTTGCGAATTATTTATATCTAATACCGGATAAACTCGAAGATCTCTAGACGGAAACCAACAAGTTGGAAGCAGAAGCAGTGAAGACAGAACTTCAAGGGAACACGGAGAAGGCAGGGATATAATGAAAACAATCAACCAGCAGTAACGATAAGCACCAATCACTACATACGAGAGAAATCTGAAGGAATTCATCCCCTCCCCTTTTCAACTAACCTAGATAGCATCGCTCCAACTACAGGCGGGGCACGGATGACGATGTCAACAAAGCCAGCCAAGATACGAAAAGCAACACAAACATTGATCAAACTGAAATTAGTGTGAGAAAATCTTCTGTAATCAGCATAAAAACAAGACGCAGACTTTCAGTACTTGTTTATGCGTCACGAAAAGCATTTTCGGCCGACTACAGACTTTTATCGCACGTCCAGGAGAACACGAATAGTACACAGAGAGTTAGTCATGAGTCGAGGATGACATGGAGAAGACCATATGACGGGGAAATGAGAGCTTATAGACAGTTGTAGGGGCCAGCTAAAGAGGACTGGAGAGAACAGGGTGGGATGGAGATGTGCCGCTGGTGCCATATGTTCATCTCAAAACCCAAGGGAATAATAATAATACATATTACTATCAATTCTTCACCCAAAAAACCTACTATGCAATCAGGACAAAGTGACAAGAAATAAAAGTTTTTTCTGGCAGGGCAGATATGCCTTGATGACATAAGTTAGCAGAAGGTAAAACTCACTAACAACATATGATATCAAAACAGGAACGCGGCCTAACTACATCTCCGGTATTTAGCGGACATATATATATTTTGAACAAAACACCTCGCACTAAACAACTCCGATGAACACTTTGTACAGAATCCACTGAACCCAAGGCAAAAACAACTGTTATCCGATTACCGGTCATCAGTTACCGCCTTTAATGTTCCACACAAACTCATAAGAACATAAGCTAAAAAAAGTTTTTTTTCCTTCCCTGAATTAACACTACCACATTAAGAATGAAAATGAAAATACATCGATAACCCCGTAACAGATGAAGAACTTTCACTGATTATAATAAAGGAGGAAGCATGCAAATCTTGCAAGTGGTTAAGTTGGTATAAATATTGTTCTTTTTTAGAGGTTAATTGGTGGATGGTGACTAGCAGTGGAATCCAGGATAACGCGCATTTCGTCCTATTTGGGACTGACTCGTCAGCATCCACCAGTTAACCTCTAATTACATGCTCAGACATCGTCGAAGCATCTGAACAGACATGTTAACCTGAGACCGAGCACTTCGGTCCAATCATCAATCGACGGGAAAATCTAAAATTCAATTAAATAACTGTTCTTTTTTATTTTTTTTTATTCCTTTACGCCCTAAGTGGAGCGCATAGGGCTTCAAGTTAGAGAGCTTTGAAGTTTCGGTTGCTAGTCTCACCTAACCCAACCTTCCCTTTTTTTACCGGCCTTACTACTGGTCGAGCGCCAATCACCATCAACGGGAGGGACTTGAAAGAGGTTACCTCGTTCACTTATCTAGGGAGCATCGTCTCAACTACAGGAGGAACGGACGAGGATGTCAAATCGAGAATCGGGATGGCGAGAAACACATTCATTAGCCTGAAACTAATCTGGAGATCTTCGTCACTCAGCCTGCATAAACAACAAAATTCGGATTTTCAATACAAACGTCAAGTCAGTCAGTTCTTCTATACGGATCAGAAACTTGGCGAGTCACAAAGAATATTTCCAACAGGTTGCACACCTTTATCAACAACTGTCTTTGTTCTATACTCAAGAAACTATGGGAACAAACAAAGCAAGAACCAATCGCTCAACAACAAATATGCAGGAGAAAGTGGAGATGGATTGAACACTCGTTGAGGAGGCCTCTGGGTGACATCGCGCGTCAGGCCATCGCTCGAGTGGAACCCGAAAGGGAAGCGGTGAGTGGGACGTCAGTGCAAGGGTGACATGGAGGAGATCGCGTGAAGAAGAGTTGAAACAGTATGGATTAACATGGATGCAGGTGAAAAGTACAGCAGAAGACAGAAGCAAGTTGAGGCGTGTAGTTGAAGCCCTATGTTCCACTAGGAACTCAAGGGAACAATAAATAAATAAATAAAACTACTGGTCTAGCGGGGTCGAGGAGTGCATCGATTGGGGGGGATTGAACATTGGACGACATGTGTAGTTGGCCAGCGTCCTACAGCTGAACAACCGACTCACTGGCATAGATAATATATGAATGAATTATTAATCAATCAAAACGGTGAATAATTTACCTTGAAATAAGAGAATCTTTGAAGAAACTATTTCGACTTGGTAAACGATCAGGTTTTTGATTGATTGATGACGATGATGATATCTGAGAAGCAGATGTAGAAGTAGACGATGAAGAAGATGAATTAATGCCTAATCTAGATGCATTTTGCCCAGTTGAATGAATTTCAGACAACTTTGTTTTAACACTAGACGGTGGCATTAAACGCTTTTTGTTCGCTTGTTTTGTAGAAAGCTTTGATGATTTTGATGAAGATGATAACAACAGTCCTGATGAAGGCAGTGATGAATCTGTAGGGCTGTTGGATGAGGGATCATTATTGTCAGTCTAGAGAAAAAATGAACATAAATCAGGTTTTTTTAATGAGTAAGAGTATAAGAAAAACCAATAATAATAATAATTTCTTAGACTTTCAACAAAAAACCACGGAGTACAAAAACTTACTGACTGAGTTTCAATGTATAACTTTGCACAGAAATGCAAGTTCAAGTTCAAGTTACCACACTCCACATGCAGCAAAAGAAATTAGAAAAAGAATTATCATAAGTGGAAGACATCAAAAACTTAACTAGCTGTCTCTGATCATAAGTGTCTGTGTTCTATCTGCCGTGTTAGGTGGCGTGGTACAATAGGGTGGGTAATATTGAGCTTAAGCATCGGTCAAGTGCTATGTAGGTGGGAGGGACAGTCAATCGAAGAGGTTGTGAAGCTGCATCGATTGAGAGAAATGGTTAGGAAATGTTTTACGCATGCATCTCCCTTAGACCCCTTAGCCATCGACTGCTTTCCCCGACAATGGCCAATATTAGCTGACTGGTACAGGATCGATCAGGTTGGTGGCGGTCCAACGGAAACATGGCTTCATCAGTCAATGAAATCCATAGCAGTTGGTTTAAGCAAGACAGCCAACCACCGTAAGGAGGTGTAGGCTAACTGGCTGCTTGGTTGGGTTCTTTTGGATAGTAAAAAACAATGAAAGCTGGAAACAATCGTCAATGATATGGCTGCAAATCGTTTTCAGTGAGTGGTGGCGTAGGTGCATTCACTCTTTGTGATTTGTCATATCCAATAAAACTCTATTTTTCTTCCATATTACTATTCTTTTCCCATCGCTCACACTTCTGCTTGTTATCTGTCTTTTGAGTCTCCCCCTTTACTCTCTTCTCTTGCTTTGTGGATAGGTGAATCGAAAATAAAGCTGATATTCTACTGTGCATATGGAAATTTCCTGTAGTTCTAGAAACACTAAACGACTAATTATTGAAGACACTATTAAAGGCATAGTTCAAAGTCATTCCCAATGGCGCGCAGAAAAATTAACTCTTCTTTACAAATACTCCTAGATCCATCAACTCATTACTCTCCAAGTACTTATTCTATCTCCAGTACATTTCCCTATCCAATCACAGTAAAGTTCCTTTAAATTTTCTATGTAGCTTTGTGAGCTATACGCAACTACTCAGCTACCTACTGGAATTGACGTGCGAAGTTCTATGCTGAAGGCTAAGCCAGTATGGTAATGTGGCGAAATAAGCACAAAACACACTGAAGCAGCCAAAGACAATCTTTGAATATGCATAGAGTTCCAACATCAAGAGAATTCAAGGTGTAACATCTAGGTGTGATGTCAACACAGAGAGTAACAAGGAAAGTTGGCTAAGAGTAGTTACTTTGTTCTCAAGTGTGTATAGGTGGAGAGTGGAGCCGCCTTTTCAGTTAATCTGTATAGCTTATTATGGGGTAACATTTATTCATTCATAAATACGACTTAGTGATAATTAGATTGGACATTAGTTGGTAACTAGTGTCATGTGGCCAACATGCCACTAGGTGGCTTCCCCATCACAGTGCACTTTGAATTGTTGACACCCAGGTTTCGTGCCAGTTGACCCTCACTAGTCAGTAAGCAAAGGGTATCTGTAACGTTGACGGAACTTATGCCCACCCACCTTCTGAGATTCGAACCCGTATCACCCAGTGCTGTAGTGAGTAAGTAAGTCAGTTAGTAACTAGTGTCCAATCAAAGTATCCAGTACAGTCCTACAGCAGAAAAATGGCGGGTCCGAATAGTTCAGCAATAGTAACGTCCCTGACCGCAGGTAGCGCACGGGGTGACACCGGTTCCAATCTCAGAAGGTTGCAGATACACTTTGCTGACTGGTTCATAAGTGTCAACTAGCATGAAATCTAGTTCATCAGGTGAGGCTTCCTATGGCCGACTGCCTCCAACCATCTATAATACCAACAACTTAGGGATGTAGACAATGCGTCAAAGACTCAATGCATTCTATTCACCTCAGCAGATAACTCACTTATACACACATGCTGCATAATACCTGTTGCTTAATAATTTTCCCATCCTTGCAAATTAAGTAATAATACATTTCAACAATTAAAATGGAACATAATAAAACACAAGCTACACTTTGCAGTAAAATACCTCTTTTAATACAGCACTGTTGTCAGTGGGGACTTCAGTTGTTGTTGGTGTTGTTGTTGCTGTCGTTGTTTCATGCTGTTGACGACTTTCATGTTCATTTCTATACACCTGCTGCTGCTGGTGATTAGGAATATTATCCCCCTCTGGTAGTTGAGAGCATATAATGGAAGACGATGTAATTAAAGGTGAACTACCACGTGACTGGAATAATACTGACCGTTTACGATGACTGCAAAAAGAGAAAGAAGCATTGTTAAAAATTATTAGTCAAGAATATGAATGAGTAGAATAAATTGGAGAATTTATGTTAACATTGGTTAGAGAACCACTGGAACACCAACCAGGAGTAATGGACACCTGTTTCGTCCCAGTCTGTGACTCTTCATCAGTACGCACCCACCGGGATTCGAACCCAGGAGACTCTGGTTACAAGGCGAGCTCATGTACCATTAAGCCACTGGGACCCGATCCAATAAAGGCCAGCCTATGAATTCCAACTTCTGCCAATTCACGACATAGTGCGACCACTAGCCAATGTCTTCGGCAGGTATTTGTCCTCCCACCCAACCTGCTGCACCCTACTGGTCATGACTTCTCACTAGAACCCCGGGTAACTATCTACCTAATAGGGCAAGTTGCTAGTGAGCATCTCATTGATATTCAAGTGTTGGTTTGTAGGGATTTGATTGGTTACAGGATTTCATCATGAGCTGACATTATGTGGGTGCGTACTGATGAAGAGTCCTAAACTGGGACGAAACAGCTGTCCAGTACTCCCAGGTGGTTTTCCAATGGTTCTCTAACCAATGTCAGCTCATGATGAAATCCTGTAACCAATCAACCAAATCCCTACAAACCAACACTTGAATTTATGTTAAAATAGAAAAAATCCCCATTTTGACATTAAAAAAGCAACAGGATCGAGTGAAGAAATATTTTACCAAATTTTGGTAGAACTCGTCAGCTGAACACTCTACATTCACGGATATATATACTTTCGAAATTACATTGGGAGATATAGGACTGATAAGTAAACAAACTACATTGAATTAGTCATGGAGAAAGACAGGTGAGAATGTTTTTCCAGGTCATGTTCAATTAGATAAGGGGAGAGAGGGTATGGGAGATCAAAATTAAGATAAATCGCATTACGCTTCAATTACATCACTTAGATGAACAATTAGACATTAGAGAATTTAACAAGAATTGCAACCAGAGGGATGTCAATAGTAATAGTTATAATAACAATAATAATAATAATAGTAGTGTTGAAGTGAGTTAAGATAATCCTACTGATAAAGGGTAGTTTTAAATGAATCAAGAATAATAATAATGACAATAATAATAGTAATAATAAAATAATAAGAGGTAGAATTATAAGTAAAGCGTATTACCATGGTAGATTCAGAGTCAGCTGACGAGTTCTACCGAAATTTGATGAATTCATTAAATCCTGCTTTATTAACCTTTATTGCTTGTTTTAAATTCGTATCGGGAAATAAATGTTTCCAAATATTTTACCATTCAATTAGATCCTTATCTCACTCTAGCTCTACTCTAATAATATTATGTATAGCATTTTTATTACGATACACAACAGTTTACCAATCAGCTGTAGCTACGGAACCAGCTACACTGGGCGTACATTTAGGCAGGTGTTCATCATCGTATTTCCTAACATCATTCATTATGGTTAAGTAAGGGACAAACACGATCTATTCATAGCTAGCTCTGTTTTAGCACACCTTGTTGATACTGAGCATTAAGTTGATGTCAATATAGTACATTAAAAATTATTTATCGCAATCCTACTAAACCGCAATTTTGCTTTACGAGTTCGTCGTCTACATATAGCTGAACATATAGGAATCCACCTGAAGAACAACCCAAACTTGTGTGTGTTCAGAAGAAATTTGTACAGCCACTTTCCTTACCTCGATCATCGTTATATGAATGTATAAACCGAACTACTTCGCAACCCTACTCCCCTCCCCCAGAACCTTAAAAAATTATAATTGTCCAAATAATTTTACTATTTTTCTGACTATTTCATCTTCAACTGTATGTTATCATTGTTGTAATCATTTCTACCCTTCAATTGTTTGAATTATCTATCTTGGTTATTTATTATCAAACCCATTGACATGTTGATACTGACTAATTATTGTTAACAAACATATCTGTGCCACTTGATGATTGGTAAACTGTTGTGTATTGTAATAAAAAGTGCTATACATAATATATTAGAGTAGAGACAGAGTGAGATGAGGATCTAATTGAAAAGTAAAATATTTCTTCACTCTCAATCCTTTTGCTTTCTAAATTTATGTTAAACGAAAAGTCAATACTTCAACTCATAACTGATTGACTAACACAGATGAGTTACAGCAGTGAGATAAGAGTTAAACTGACAGTTAAGAGTACACTGAGAAGTACTAAAATTTTTCAAGTGTTGGTTTGTAGGGATTTGATTGATTGGTTACAGGATTTTATCATGAGCTGACATTAGTTAGAGAACCACTGGAAAACCAGCTGGGAGTACTGGACAGCTGTTTCGCCCTAGTTTGGGACTCTTCATCAGTACGCACCCACCGGGATTCGAACCCAGGACCTTCTGGTTACAAGGCTAGCGAACTCGTAGACCATTAAGACACTGGGACTCGATCCAATGGCCCATGAATTCTAACTTCTGCCAATTCACGACATAGCGCGACCCCTAGCCAATGTCTTCGGCGAGTATTTGTCCTCACACCCGACCTGCTGCACCCTGGTTGACTGGTCACGACTTCCCACTGGAACCCCGGGTAACTACCTACCTGAAAATTTTTTTAGATAATCACGATATATATGAAATAGATACACATGAGTTTCGTACAAATTTAGTCTTATCCATTTAGTACAATATTATGGCTAACAGAGATTATGTACATCACTCACTGACCGATAGAGAGAGAGAAGTAGGTAATTGGCTTAAATAATTGATTTCCAACTTGTGAGTCCTGGATTCGAGTCCCACTCCACACCTAATTTAGACTAAACTAGGTGGGGCAGTACGGGCTTTTTTTCTTTCTTTTTTTAAATACATTACTATTAACAACAAACAATAACATGAGATATTGCGATAGTTAGAAATCACTTGTATAAAATAGCCGATGTTAGATCTAACCGATGTCACCTCGTGCTGAAATCCTGTAACCAATCAAATCAAATCCCCGCAAACCAACATTTGAATATCAATCTGCTGCTAGCTAACCACTGATTTTATTCAGGTAGGTAGTTACCTGGGTTCTAGAAGGAAGTCGTGACCAGTGGTGAAGGGTGTGACGACGAATACTCGCCAGCGATGACATTCGCTAGTGCCAGTGGCGCTTTATCGTGAATTGACAGAAGATGCAATTCATCGGCTGGCCATTGGATCTTAGGTCCCAGTGGATTGATGGTCTATGAGCTCACTAGCCTTGTAAGCGGAAGGTCTTGGGTTCAAACCCTGAAGGTGTGTGCATACCGTTGGAGAGTCCCAAGCTAGGACGAAACAGCTCTCCAGGACTTCACCATACTGGTTCTCTAACCAATGTAACCCAATGATAAAATTCTGTAAATAAATTTGACTCCCTCATGCTTTAATGATGTACATTTTTAATGGGTTTAGGGTCACGACAGCTATATATTATGATCAATTGCTATTTCATGGAAGTTTGATTCCTACAAATAAGCATCTATGTACCACTCACATGTAGCTCTCAGGTATTAGGTCTTTCAAAAATATGCATGTAAACAACCAAGGGGCTATTGTCACATGAGTTAGTAAAATCAATAATGATCCTCTTACACAGCTATACAATAAACCTTCTAATGTATTGATCATACACACAGAAAGTACATACACACCAAAGACATGAATTTGTAGTTATAAACAGAACTAATAGTAACATACCTTATAATTGTTTCCGGTTTGTTCTCTGATTTTTCTGTATCTGAAAATATAAAAATAAATTAAAGAAATATGAGGTGTGATTATTATTTTTATTATTATTGGTAACAGTTTGCTGAATACAAAAACAAAAGCAGCTATCGATGTTGTTGTGAAATCAACATTAAGACATGTTTGTTGAGTCAATATGTTAGGGTTCAGAGTAAGTGTTGTTAGCCAATGAGAATGCTGTATTTTATGGGAAACTAAGCGATTACCACCACCAGTATAGGCCGTAGATTTTTAATAATGTCAGTGTAGAACTTGGGCATCACGGTAGAGTGTAATTCTATAAAAGATAAGTTTAGTTTTAATATCACACACAGTGATGATACAGTATTAATGATAACTGGATGACAAGGTATCGAGAATAAAGTATTACTACTCAAAATCATATCAATTCAGTCACACGGCCTCACAGTTTGTCTTATATATATATATGTATACACTTTCTCTCCTTTACTCTCTGTCTCCCTCGAACTTCCCCTTGTTGTTTGTTCCTACTTTCCATATCTCCGGTATACGTGTTGCGTCATTCCGATTCCACAATTGAGGTGTAATTAACCTCTCTCTCTCCCTACTTCTTTAATACTATCAACCTATCCCATCCAATTTTGTGATTACATACCAGTGAATGCAGTGCAACGGCTGAACTTTTTTCTAGGTTATTTTGTGGTGAGAGCTGTCTACTAGCCAAATTGGTAGACAGTAATTTACGTCAATGTTTACGTTCTCAAGATGGGTCGTGAGAAAAATATGAACAAAGACTGATTCAACAACCAACCACAGCAGACTTTGCGTAGGCGGATACAGTTAACATATAGATGATCTGACATTCAAGAAACAGTCACAAATAGATGAAAGATTAACTTTACGTGAGAAACAACCAATCGGAAGACTGTGTTTGTTTGCTGAACTAATCTATAATAATGTACATGAAAATATATAAATATGCTTTGATTTCCTTAATAAACGATCTGTTGCCTGGCCCTTGTCTTCTGTCGTTACAATTTAACTTAGCAAGATCAATTCTTCTAGGTCTAGGCTAAACTGTTATGTTTCAGTAATCTAGTTGACCCCGATCTACTAGTTTGACTGACCTATGTAATTTACCTCAGTCTGCATTACATGGCATGTGAGTGAAATCACGAAATAGGATGGCACAGGGTGAAAGTACGAAAAAGTGTGCAATGGAAATGATGCGACGCCTATATACTGGAGATATGGAAGGTGGCAAAAAACAACAGGGGAAGTTGGAGAGAGACAGACAGAGAAAGAGAGAGAAATATATACATAGATAAGACAAACTGTGAAACCATGTGACCAGCAATAATTTATGCTCGAAACCTTGTTATCCAGTTGTGAATACTGTATCATCACTGTGTGTGTGATATTTCAAATAAACTTATCTAATATGGAAGAACTATGCAGATTTTTATGTTTATTTCAAATAAAGTAAAATAATCGCAACAGAGTATATCAGGAAGTATATTTAAAAAATATATTAAAAAGTATTTAAAAAAACTCAATTAAGCAAAACTATACAAATTCGATCATGCACCGAGAAATTAGTCACATTTAATAATTTCTCTTCAGGTTCTTACAATTATAAAATATAATATTTGTTGTCGTTACAATAATGATAGCCAGTTAGTTATGCGGCGGATACATTTTTTTCAACATAGAATAACAGATTAGTTATCGTAGGGTGACAAAACAAATAGTCGTATTTGTGTGACAAACGTGCTCTGGGCTGAAATCGATTACAAAATATTTCGGTGAAATGGGAGACAATGATGATGGTGATTAGTCATAATTGATTTGTAGAGTGTGGGGTAGGAAAACTGACAAGTAAGTCAGTTCAAGGTTATAAAAGGTGTCAGGTGAGTGGGAGGCTAGTACAAAGTGGCCTGTGTTAAACAGGAGATAGTAAGACTGCAATGAGCGAAGTTCATAATGAAATAACGAATATGTGAAATGAAACAGGTGGTGGCATATATTGAGAAAGGAGATAATATCATGATTAACCATAAGTTCGGATAGTATAAATGTAAAATTCGATAGCATTGAGAGAATGTTTGCATGAGGAGTATAAATTATGACGAATAATATTAATAGTATTATAACTTGTTTTTTTTCTTTCTTTGCTTATTATTACAATTATTATTATTTCATTTCACATATTGGTTATTTCATTATGAACTTCGCTCATTGCAGTCTTACTATCTCCTGTTTAACACAGGCCACTTTGTACTAGCCACTCACTCACCTGTCACCTTGTATAACCTTGAACTGATTTGTCAATTTTCCTACCCCACACTCTACAAATTTATTATGACTAATCACCATGATCATTGTCTCCCATTTCACCGAAATATTTTGTAATCGATTTCAGCCCAGAGCACGTTTGTCACACAAATACGACTATTTATTTTGTCACCCTACGATAACTAATCTGTTATTCTACGTGAAAGTGTGTCCTCCGAATAACATAACTGGTCATTTGTAAAAAATTTATATTTGTAAAGTCTCAGCGAGATTGAAATGAGTAATTCCAACGTTTCGTTCGGCAATCTGGTCCGAACTTCTTCAGGGAAATTAATCGAAATTAACTGGTCATTGTTGTAACGAAAATAAATATTATATTTTATAATTATAAGAACCTGAAGAGGAGAATTGACTTTCATTTCATGATGTGGGAATCACATCTAATATATTACACATACGAATACAATAATATTATATAAAGTGTAATTAAATATAAGTGTATCTCAAGCAATACTACATATGAAGCTCAATTGATATAAGTATAAGTATCCATTATGGAATATGAAGCTCAAATTAAAAGGTGACCGACTTACTCAGCCTACGAATCTCACAGTCAACTTACAAAAAAACACATTCGTTGTAGCATTGGTAAGATTAGCATTTTCTCTAGTCGACAACTACTGTTCAATAACCTGAAACACAAGATCCTGCAGGTGACCTGCTGATGTCAGGTTAGGTATACCGGTCGTTCGATGTAGAGTTTTGCCGAACATAGAGAAAGAATACTATCCTGCATGGTTATGAAAAGGTGTGAATGGAGCTGTAGGAAGCGTAATTATTGAACATGTAGCTGATACTGGACACCACCTTACTGGTACAGCATCTTCCGTAAAAAGGTCATCCATAAGGAGAGACATAACGTACCGAAATCACTATGTGTTCAACCACTCATCGCCTGTGTTGTTGAAGCTTTGGGCATTGAAAACAAAAAACAGATCTCTGTACACAGAAAAAAACCCGTTCATTTAACCACTCCCTCGCTTCCATGGTCTTAATCATCTGTCTATGCTGAAGTATGATAATTCGCATTCACACCTTGGTACTACTTACTATTTTTCGTTTTGTTTATTCGCTTTTGCATATCCTTCCCTTCCTTTATTATGTCAATCGTTACTATTATTAAATGATACTTTGAACAACTTATGGTGCTATCTCACTTGGCACCTGTATTTATTGAATTTCATATAGATTTTGCAATGTTGTTTTGTTATAATTCTCATCTTGTTGCATAGTGGTATTTCAATAGCCCCCCCCCCACTCATTAATCTCATTATTTCTACATCCACTTCTAAAATTTAACCAATTTTTCTCGCAGTTCACTTAATCAATAAAAAATCATTATTTTCTCATACAATTGCACAGGTTGATAACAAATTCATTGAAAAGAGTCACTTCGTTGAATCAATTGGGTTGATTCCTCCTGATGAGGATTTTCTATAAATTAAAATGTAGGACAGAAGTTGGTGGTTCAGCGATAGAATGCCCGACAACCAAACATGTAGGGTCCGGGGTTCCATCCCCGGTCGGCGGACTCCTAAAATTAGCTCATCCTGTAGTAAGTCTGATAAACAGGCATGATACTGGCAATGCCACCCCCCACACACACACACAGACTTCAAAGCTCAAGCTTGAGGTCTTATATTGTACTCGAAACAACTCACGACCTATTTAAGCAGAATATGTAGACGAAAAACTAGACTCAAATGCCTTTTTAAAAAAAAAACAGACTTACTAGGACTTAAAGTACTATTAGTGTTCAACAAATGATGAGTGGGTTTGATTTTTGGAGGACGTCCACGACCTCGAGGCGCAACGACTGGTTTAGTGGCAGGAACTTCCACTGTTGAACCTTGTTGGTGTTGTTGTTGGTGTTCAGTGTAACTAACAGATACACTCGGAGAGGGTAGACTGCTAGTTTCTGATCGAACATTCAAGGTATCTGGAGTCTCAGGAGTAGAATTCACAGACACGCCTGTATTATTCAAGTTTGCAGCAACTAGACTGGCAAAACCTATCACTGCAGCCTAAAATAAAAAAGGATTGATAAGAAATAAAACGGAATTCAATCCAGGTAATCTAATTAATTTGGAGCACTAGATCAAAATGCTGAAGTGTAAAAAGTGATATATTAAAAATCCTATAATTCCTCCATATAAATTAAAAATAGAGACAGTAAAGAATAATTCCGGAACTACGGTTTAACGGCCAACTTGGTATCACATTCAGCCACTTAACACAACAGAAAAGAGGTATGGCTGTTAATATGATGTGGTGGTAGTTCGGCTTGCACATTGCAATGACCCACCGAACTCCACTGGTTGGAACTAATGTTCCCGAAGGTTCTGCTGCCCCACAAACGCCATTTTGAAAGAGGTTAAACTAAAAGCAGTTACCGACCAACAGGTTGTTTGAAGTCAGTCTCATGTAACAGGTCTTTCATGCTCCAGGCTATGAGCATACTTATTTTGTGAGGCTAAAGTAAGTGCAAAAAGGATTCCAAACAGAAACCTACTGATTGAAAGTCGAGTGCCTAAGTTAGTGAGTCATGTCTCTACCACCATATTAAAAGTCGTCTATGCTGGGGGTCTATGGGCAACGTAGTACTGCTGGAAAATAGGCATGTAACAGCAGTAAGATGTTTCTCCCACGTGGTCGGTCGATCGGTCGGTTTTCGACATAGAACTTTGCACCGATGTGCGGCAGTTCAAGTCGCCAAAATCTACGTAGCACGCAAAGCAAGAGAAGAAAGTAGGAGAAATGCATAATATAGACAGTAAACAGAGGTGTGAGACAAAGGAATAGTAATAACGGAGAACAAAAGTTTAATTGGAAATCATAAGTCACAAGGAGTGGATGCATCTGCGCCATCGAGAACGATTTTGAGCCATGTCACCAATTGTTTCCAACCATTGGTTTTTACCATCCCGAGGGCCCCAACCAGGAAGTCTACATCTTCCTACGTGGCTTAGATTAACTGTTGTGGATTTCATTGATTGGTGCCATGTTTTGGTTTGACCGCCGCTAGCTCTTTTCCAGCCTCACCCTATATCACCTAACATTGCCCGTCGAGGAAGGCGATGACTAGGCATACGTAGCACATGTCCTAACCATCTCAGTCGAAGTAATTTCACAGTCTCGTCGATTGATTTCCCCGCCTTACCTAGAACTCGACCGATGCCTTACCTCAATATTGCTCACCTTATTATACCACTTCACGCGGGAGATAGGACGCAGACACCTATGATCGAAGACAGCTAATCTTTTCATGTCTTCTGCTCTCAATGGCCAGGTCTCACAGCCATAAAGGAGGACGGAGCGGACTGTTGAGCAGTACACACGCCCTTTGGTCGATAGTCGGATATCGCGTCTACGCCAGAGACGGCGAAAACTGGCGAATGCGAACCTAGCCCTCTGTATTGGTGCTGAAATTTCGTCGGAGATCAACCCGTTGGCACTGGCTGAAGGTACTTCCCAAGTAAATGAAGTGGTCAACGTGCTCTACCACTTCACTTCCTATTTCTAATCTAGGGGTTGGTGTAGTAGAATCCTGCAGCATCATCTTACATTTTATAGGGGCGAATCGCATGCCAAACATGCGGAGATTGTTGCTCAGGGTGTTCAGTAGACTCTGCATTTTGTCAGAGTCCTCGCCTAGAAGGACTATATCGTCCGCATATTCTAAGTCAACGAGATTCTTCCCTGGTAGCAAGTCAATCCCTGAGTCCCTGAAGTGAGTTAGGGTTAAGTCCATTAGTACATCTATGATGAAATTGAATAGGAATGGGGATAATGGGCATCCTTGACGGACGCCACTAGTCGTCACCACTTCAGATGACAACTCGCCATAAGCCCTCACCTGGCTGCATGAGTACGAGTAGAGTGCTTTAATAAGTGCAATGTATTTTCTTGGCATTTCCTTTACAGCCAAGCATCGCCAGAGAACCTCCCGGTCGACAGAATCGAATGCCGCCTTTAGGTCAAGAAATATAATGATTGTCGGACGCCGGTAGGAATGCCTATGTTCTAGAATCTGTCGAAGGGTGAAGATGTGATCAATACACCCTCTACCTGGCCTAAAACCTGCCTGGTTTTCTCGTGTTTGTGTCTCCCGAGCACCACTTAATCTACGCAGTATTATTGAGCCTAGGATTTTAGATACTATATTAGTCAAGCTAATCCCACGTGACCAGTAGACCAGCTCTATATTGCCTCTCCTCTGGTCGACTTCGAAAACTGTACTCCCCAACTTACCTTGCGACAGTCCGTAGCGGAAAGTAAGACCTTATTACGGACACAAGCATATTGACAACCTCAAACAGACGGCCTCAAGCAGTCGTCCCCTGAGGCTTACGCAGTCATGCCGCACTAATGCTCTTTTTATTCCAGGTGTTTCACGAAGAAACCAACTTCACCAGTGCGGACAGCCGGGAAGTAATTACCCCCCCCCACAAACTTCCATAAGCTCACTTTCATGAAAGATTTTTCAAATACATTTTATAGTGCCCATAAGCTTACTCGGTCTGCTGTATCCACCATCAGAACTCAGTTATTTGGAACGGATAATTTTATGTACTAAGTTACAGACTAGACACACTTATTGTTTCACAAGGTAGACAATTAATTATAGGATGAATTAACTAGGCACGTATTCTACGACTTGACTGTGGAATTAAAATTATGTTAGGCAATTATAACTACCCTTACTCACAAGATCAAAATTCAGTGCATAGAGGAAAGTTTGATGAAACGATGCTTCAGTAGTAAAAAATCAAGTTTCCACTAGGAGTGAGTAATAAACTTACTCATAAACAAAAATATGAAAGCATAATAAACGAAGAAATTAAAAAGGAACAACGATCATCAATTGTATCAAAATGACTAAGTATGGCTGACTGATTGGTTTCAAAGTAGAACTTTGCAGAGAAGTGAGGCAGTTTGAGTTGCCACACTCCTTCTATGTAGCACACAAAGCGAGAGAAGGGAGAAAAGAGATTCCAAAGACAGATCATAAATAGAAGTGTGAGTGATGGGAAAAGAATAATAAAATGGAAGAACAATAGAGCTTCATTAGATATTATAAATCACAAAGAGTGGATGCATCTGCGCTAGCCATCACCGACAACGATTTTGAGACACATCACTAATGGTCTCCACCCATTGGTTCATGCCGTCCAGAGGACCACAAACATTCACGAAGTTTATACCTCCCTACGTGGTTGGTTGGCTCAAACTAAATGTTGTGGATTTAAATGACTGGTGAAACTATGTTTTGGTTTGACCACATACCACTGGCTCTTTTCCATCCCCACTGATCTCATATCCACAGCTAATATTGGCCGTTGTTGAGGAATGCTAAGGGGTCTAGGGGTGAAGCATGCGTAACACATTTTTTAACCATCTCTCTCAATCGATGTAACTTCACAACCTCGTCGATTGATTCCCCCACCCACACCTACCTGGCATTTGACCGATGCCTCACCTCAATATTACTCATCGCATTACACCTACCACGGGAGATAGAATCCATACACCTATGATCAAAGACAGCTCACCGACCCTTTCATGTCTTCCACTTCCAATGGCTACGTCTCGCTCATAGCCATAGAGGAGGACACAGAGAATTGCTGACCAGTACACACGTCCTTCGGCCAACAGCCAGCTAGATATCACATCTACTAAGCCAGAGATGGCGTAAGTTGGCAAATGACAACTGAGCCTTTGTCAGTGATCAACCCGCTGGGGCTGGCTGATGCAACCTCCCACGCAAATAACTGAGTGAAGTGGTCAACACGCTCCACTAACCACCTCGCTGCTGCCTTTGTTTAAACTAGGAGTGAGTCGATATAGTCGAGTCAGACCCGTAGAACCGTCTCACATTTGACAAAGGGAGAGTATCGCATGCCAAACATTACAGAAGACCGCTAGCTGTTCATGGTGTTCAGAAGACTCTGCTCTATTTTGTCAGCGTCTTCACCTAGTAGAACTATATCATCTACATATTCTAAGTCAACGAGATTATTCCCTGGTAACAAGTCAAATCTTACATTTGACTAAGTGTATGGGGGATGAGGTAAGAGGGGTAGTTTACTTAATTAAATCCAACCACTTTGTGCATAAGGTGATTAACGACGAATGTCAAAAACTAGAGTAGACCAACCTAAAGAATTACAGATTATACCACCATTAAGGGTACTGTTAACTCTCACAAGTCACCCATAAAATGGGATGGACAGGAAGTCTAAAGAAAATCTCCAAGAAATTTCAACAATTGAAGTCCAATTCAAACAGGTTTGTCTAATCACATTAAGAATTGTTTTAAAATGTACCGAAATATAAAACAAACGAACAGTCAACTAGGCAAACACCACACTGATGGCAAGTACCAGGCAAATTTACTGATAATCGTGTACATCAACCAACTGACCTCGTACATAGAAAAAAACAGGTTGTAAAATCTAATGAGTCGTTAACAAAACGATCAGTCGTAGGTATAGTTTCACCGAAGTTTTCCTTAGGAATTAAAGATAATCACTCACAATAAATGGTGTTGTGAACTTAAGCAGTATAAAAGACAGTAATCAACGCCATCGAATGACTAGCTGTAAACCTCATGGGGAGAGAGACAAGGAAGACAGACGTCGAAGACCCTGTCGTCTGGTGAAAAGCACGTTCGCAGAAAAGTAACGAAACAAGTCAGAAGATTAAGCCAACTCGAGTTACAAATATGCAATTACTAGTTGTAAAATACTGTTTAATTTTTTTTAATTACCTCACGTTTCGGTCGATCAGACATCACAGAAATTGAATCTGATGATAAGCAAGGCGAGGTGGCAATACTCTTTATAGGCTCCACCAATTTTAATGAACGCCTTGATGGTCGGCCTCGACCACGCTTTTTCACGACAACAGCATCAGGATTATCAACAACAAGTTGACCAGCAGCATCAACTGTTGAAGGTACAACTTCTGTCAAATCCACTACAGTTATATCTGTACTCGGTTGTTCATCAGACATTGATTTAGTACAATAATCATCAGTAGGATGATCTGAATCCAAGATGGAGGACATATGTGTATCAGCATCATCCGAGGTGTTCATTCCAACTTTGTAACGTTTACGCGGAGGAAGAACTGAATGACGTGAACTGGAGGAACGTCTTAAATTATTTGGTAATGATGATGGTGTAGAGGTGGATATAATATCACAGGCATCAGAAATACTTCTTTCAAGAGGGGAAACAGATTGTTGGGCAAATTCTTCATCATCATCATGAGCAGCAGCGACTAAAGCGTCATTGGTGTTTGAAATTGCTGAATGGTGGGCATGTCGTCGTCGCTTACCCACAGTATTTAAAAGGGAAGAAGAAGAAGATGGGGAATTGAGATCAAGTTGTTGGTGTCGTGAATCAGTAGTAGTTATACCGCTATGGGATATCGTCTCATTGGAGATGTAGTGTTCTGGTTGAAGATTCATATCAGAGGGATGAGGGGTCTTTGAGAATCGATTATGTCTACTTCTCTTTCTTCGACGACCAGGAGATGATGTTCGTGGACTTAAATCTCGTTTAGCTGCAACTGAAGATTGATGATAAACACTATCGTCGAGTGGTTCTTGTTCTACAGAGATTGGAGAATATTTGGTAATGCATGCAGATTCCATTTCACTATTTCGTTCACTTGCTTCAGATATAATCGAAAATGAACCCTAACAGAGAAAGAAGAAAAGACGAAACTAGCAATTAAAAGATATGTAAATAGAAAGGTTTAAAGACAATGACAGTGCACTGATTCTATAACAAATTTACATATATATACATAAGGGATTGTAGATCACAAGAAGAAACGTTTTACTATAATATACGCCATGAACGACCGGCTACGTGGCTAAGGGTGGGTGGAATTCCGTCTTCCTTTCGAAATACTCTCATGTAGCCAAGTGTTTACAGTCTTTGCCAGGTAAGACCTATTCACCGTTTTCATGAGCTAGGGGGTTTGCATCACAGAAAAAAACTGAAAGAGTGAATGGGAACACACGCCTGAAACTCACAACTGGACTGGTGAAGATGAAAGTCTACCTGGAGAAGCTGGAAAATCCTGGTTCCAAATATGTACATGTATAACGGTAGAAGACAAGAGACTTGATAAAGGAATGTTTATTTTGGAAATTGGTATCTCCATATAACGAAATTATATGTATATCTCATCTTCAAGTCACCATTCGCACAGATCTTCCGTGTTGTACTACTTCTGCCCTTCGCATATTGTGTTTCTTCGTCTTCTTTTTGTGCCTCCCATGTTTTGCCTCAACACAGGCTCATTTGCTCTCTTTGACGTCAAATCTATCTCCCTGCTTTATGATGTTTTTGCGCCAATGAACGTCTCTTCATATACTACTGATAAATCTTATCAGTAGCACACGCCACGAATCGGCTTCAGAATCCGAACGGAGTGAAACTGTTTTGGCTATAGAATGGCTGCCTCCCTGTCTGGGAGTCCGGCAGTATGTCCCAGACCTCACAGGAATCACAGGATTTTGTGTGCCAGATCTCGTAGTGCCCATAAATGAAGTTCACGCATAAAAAGACAGAAGTTTTATGGTAAAGGTAAATCGTGAAGACTAAGAAGCACGATGATGAACAGAAATGCACGAGAGGAAGAATGGTATCATAGAAAAACATGAAGACTCGATGGATGAAGGAAACTACATAGAGTGAATGCACTTCCGCCATTGGGGCAATGATTTGGGGTCATATCAACAACTGGTTCTTAGTATCTTGAGGACCATAACCACCAGGCAGTCCAAAAAACTCCATCCCTACGTGCTAGATCAAACCAGATGTCAAAGATTTATGTACCGAAGACAGATTTTGGCTTGATCATCCAACCCAGTCTCCTATAAGACAGCTAATACTGTTCGTCGAGGAAAGTGAAGGCTCAGCATGCGCAGAGTAACACATGTGTTCACCATATGAATCGATGTAGCTTCACAACCTTATCGATTCAATAACCCCCTGCTCACTTAATAATTCACGCCTAAACTGACTACTACACACCATATTATTCCATTTAACATGGGGCACAGAACTCAGGCAACTATGATCAAAGACAGCCAATCTTTCTATATCTTGTACTTCTAATGGCTATACCTTACAGTGGTGGTAAAGGAGGACAGATCGACCTGCTGAGCAATGTACACGCATGTCGTTTGATCGATGACAGCCGAATATTAAACACAAAACCAGAGATGAAAAATCCCATAGAAGCCTTTTGTATCTGTGCTGAGATTTCGATAATACTTACAAAGATGCAATCACAATATACGCTGGGTGAACTACTGTACCATTCATCACCACAATGTAAAGATGAAAAACAATAAAGTCTATAAATATGTACCAATCTGTACAAAAGACAGTGCGTCGGTAGCACAGCGGTAGAGTGCTCGCCGACCACACTTATGGTCCGGGGTTCGATCCTCGGCCGATGCACTCCTTTACCTCGCTAAGCCAATAATAAGACCGGTAAAGAGGGAAGTTTGGGCATGAGGCTAGCAACTCCATCCCGTAAAAATAAACACCACTGTTACCGAAACTTCAAGCCTCTAGCTTGGTAGCTGTTATAGCAACCAACAACAACAATAACGATTATTTCGCTCACCAACTGGTGGATATCAACTAACAACAGGCTCTTTACCATATATTTATATATTCATACTCGACACAGTAGCGCAAGAAATGACGGATACAACTTGCATTTAAAACTGTTCATTATGTGTGGTATTTTAATCAAATGTAAATACCTTGAATGATGAAATCTAGCCTTAAGTGTGTATATTAATCTAAAATAAGTGTAGAACTTCCCCCAATACCGTGGAATGCAATTACACATAAGATAAGTTTATTTTTAAATGACACTGTCTGTCTGGTTTCAACATAGAACTTTGCACAGGTGTGCAGCAGTTCGAGTCGCCACACTCCATGTAGCACACAAAGCCAGAGAAGAAAGGCAAAAGAAACGCAAAATAGTGACAGTAAACAGAGATATGAGGCAAAAGCAATTGTGATATCGAAGAACAATGTAGTTTTATTGGAAATTATAAGTCACAAGGAGTAGATGCATCTGCACCAGCCATTGAGAACGATTTTGAGAATATCAATGTGATTAAAACACTACCTTAATATTACAATTCATCCAAAGCATTTCTTCGGATAAGTAATGATTTAGAATGAGGAAAGTGTACACTTAACTTAAGAAATTTCTTTAAAACAGAATAAATCGCTAAGCTGACAGAAGTTGAAATTAACAGGATATTGACGTGAATCCTGACTCAAGAGAGGCTGAATGATCACGAGTTTAGCCTCTAAGAAACCAATTGGTTGGGCTGTCTGCACAGATTCGAGATCGCTTCCAGTTGGCTTCAACTAGAAATAACGCGCACGATTTTTGTGTGGGTGCGCCTATGGCACAGCGGTAGAATGCTCGCCAACCACACCACACGTGGTTCTGGATTCGATCCCCAGCCGACGCACTTCCCGACCTCACTAAGCCAGTAATAAGACTGCTAAAGAGGGGAGGTTGGGCATGGGGCTGGCTAGCAACTCCATCCCGTAAAAATAAATACCACTGCTACCGAAATTTCAAAGCTCTAGGTTGAAGCCCTATATTCCATTGGGAATGTGAAGGAATGAAATAATAATAATAACTGCTGTGTGGCCCACCTAACCTTGTGACCAGACTACCCTTAATACCGCCTCAACTAGCAAAGGGAGTATATAACACTTAAGGCTGCTGAGAGGTGTATTTGTTGACGATGATTTATGGAGAGTGTGTGTACAATTAGATAACCACACCACAACTAAGCTGCCAAGTTATTGTCCCCTGAATATTATATTCTGCACCATGTCTTTCAATCCGCACAGATAAACAAATTGATCGTTGATTGGAAAACGGCTGAGGTTCAATTGAACTGACGAACTTATTTGATCCCCCTCTACAAGCCTCGTAACCTGAAGGTACCTCGGGGCTCAATCCCTGGTGTAAGGATAATGGGCGAGTACTTCTGAAGAAGCCCAGCTCCTAGGACGACGAAACAGCTGTCCAGTACTTAAACCCTGTCGGTTCCCAATAATGGTTCCCCTCTAAATGGTAGCAATCCGTGATCAAATTTGAATAGCAGAATGAAACTAGTTACGGAAATAGACAAAATCAGAGGTCAGCAATAAAGAATATCTTTGGGTAGCTGCAGTGGCGAACTGATCTAGGGGGAGGGGATTGGCTTTCTGACAACTGGCTGGCGGTCATGCTTTCCAACACCGCTCTACCCCTACCAACGACATTTCAACAACCAGGCAGTTATCAATAACAACCACAGAAAAAGGTATGGCTGATTGGTAACCTCATAGAGACACAAGTGGTTACCACTCGAATAAAGATGAGAGCATGAACAGAACCGAATAAAATCTACATGCATTAAATGAAAAATAAATAACAACAATAGAAGAGAAAATACCTTTTGTTCACAACTGGAATGATCTGCACCTGTTGTTGTTGTTGCATCGTTTGCATCAAGCCTGCCACCACCACCATCAAATGGTCTCTTGGTACTACTCCTATTAGTGGATGATGATTTCTGGAGAACAGTTGCATTATCCGATGATACACTTGACACTTCTGTACTAAGTCCAGAATAGGCAATAACAGAATGGGATTCATTCGGTTTTGTACGACAGTTGATTTCATAAGGAATTTGTTCAGAAGCTGTTATACAAAAAAATATGTATGTATAATAATTTAAGTGTGAAGCCGTCATTGCAGCAGTCAATAAACATAGAAATTGAGAATCAGAAACAGAAATCAAATTTGACAAGATATTTAGTTTTCCAGGACTGTCACAAACGTGAATATGAAATTATCATATATTAGGATCTTATTCGGGAATAATAAATGCATCGGTGGCACAGCGGTTAGGACGCTCGCCGACTATGCACATGGTCCGGGGTTCGATCCCTGGCCACCGACAGACTCCTTTACCTCGCTAAGCCAGAAATAAAAACTCTGGTAAAGAGGAAAGGTTGGGCATGAGGCTAGCAACCCCATCCTGTAAAATAAGCACTGCTACAGAAACTTCAAGCCTCTAGCTTGAAGCCCTATGTTCCACTGGGGAACGTGAAGGAATCAATAATAAGGGAATAATAATCATCATAATAGCTTTATTCTGAACAATGTTCAGATACAGTACAGAATTCTCAGAGGAGTTTATTGCATGATATTTACTCTCTCCGTCCAGGATCTTCAAATAAAGGATCAACTGACAGTAGATTGACCGTGTGACACAGTTCTATCTGACCTGAAGAGCAAACCAAATCCACCATTTAGATAGTCTCTACTTTTTCTCCTTCAAGAAATATACACGACAATATTTTGCTGAATGTCAACTATAAACAGTTCAATAGTACATCTTGTGAACCAAAGACACCCCTGAGGAACGGTCACCTCACGTACTGGGGATAAGCTACCATCGAGGATGATGTTTCTACTCAAGTTCGGTAGGAACTTGCGAATCAACAGGTTGTAAACTTTTAAAATACCCGCCATAGTGTACAATACTAATAGAGGTCATATTTTACTAGATTTAAACAAATTGAATAAGTGAAACTATATGCAATATATAGATGGAGGCTTTTCGATATCCCAAGCTTTAAGCGGACCACCAGTAACTAGAAGTGCAATCACAAGATATGGGGAAATAATCGACTCCTTACACTTTCGACTAGTAACTAAAAACGGATGCCAGTCATATCTGCTTCGCACAAAAGTGCAGTAAATCTCACACAGTCACACTTCACATAGCACACACAAAGGTTCTGAATAAGGAACTAAGATAAAAGGGAATGTACGCAAGTAAAATATTGCTACAAAGACTGAGAACTTAACGGAAGTGTGAATTCATAGAGAGCGAATGCAACTGTACCACAAAGAACAATCTCCAACCTAATCCCAATTTTAGTCAATTTGATTCTCCTACGATTATAACAGGAAAACTTGTGTCCTTACTAATATAAAATGAGATAATCAACGACTTACATCAGTTCTACGAGACAATCTCTGATCACTATACACTCCCTAATATCTTAGTTAACCATGACAACAGTTCATCACCACCACCCTTAAACTCCTGTGGAGATATAGCATTAGGTCGGTCCCGTTGCTTTGCCGCATTTCAGATTAGAGACGTGCGTCGGTGGCATAGTGGTCAGGACGCTCGCCGACCATGCACATGGTCCGGGATTCGATCCCCGGCCGACGCACTCCTTTACCTCGCTAAGCCAGAAATAACTCTGGTGAAGAGGAAAGGTTGGGCATGAGGCTAGCAACCCCATCCTGTAAAATAAGCACTGCTACAGAAACTTCAAGCCACTAGCTTGAAGCCCTATGTTCCACTGGGGAACGTGAAGGAAAAAAAAAGATTAGAGACAAATTTTTCTACCTCAGAGTTGGAGGACCGACATCTACATCCCACATAAGTAGATGCTAGATAATAAGTCAAGTTAGCGTGGTTGATGACCAGCTGTGAATCCCTCCACAAAGTGTGCCATTCTGAAAGGTAATTACGGCGCCATTCCCAGAAATTGCTTCGCTTAACAATGGTTTTTACAACCCATTTCCTAAATCATCAGTCTGGTGATACCTTCTCCATATTTATAGGGCTTCGATGCCTACGGTTGGTGAGGACACTTGCAGTCAACTTAAATTTGAGCAGCTTTTATTTCTCGTCATGGTTGGAGTTCGCCGGAATCCATCTTCTTGTGTCCAAATCAGCTGGAATGAAGCAGCGAAAATCCACTAACTTTGGGTTATCAGTAACCCTTACCAACATAGACCTTTCAACAGCTGCATAGACATGATGTCAGACTTCCTCAAGATACAGTCTTCTTATCAACACCTTAGATACGCGTTTAGTCATTTTTCTTCTCCAAATAAATATGTTACGTCTTCACCCAGCTGGAGGTGTAGCGCCTTCGTAGCTGCCTCCTTTTGTATATCTATTCAGTCATGGGCTTACACAGATACACGATTTACTGAATAATAGGAGCGACACTTTCTTCACTGACCGTCTCTCCATTTACAGTTGTTTATAACAACATGATCTATTCAAAAGTCCATCACTGATTTAATGATGTCCCCCTCGCGATGTAAAAAATTCTTGCTAACGAGGAACAGATGATTACCTCACAACAGGTGTGTAAAAGACGACTACTGTTTCTTTTCATCAGCATAAAACTTCATTAGTAATGTATTTTCCCTGGTAGACACCCTAAAAGCCTATTAACAGTTTTAAGCATAACTATTTTTGACTATCTTACTGATTTTCAAGCATATTACATTACCTACTGCGATGACTTTTACTTATTTATTTTATTTAAGACGCAAAACCTGGTACAATATGATACGAAGAAGATGCTCCACACAATAAACATGAAACGACATGTAAAAAATGAGTAGGGAATGAATAAAGGATCTTCATCTGGGAAGAAAGCAATTATATTTAACAAGACTAAACAGCGTTCATTGAATTATTGTCAGAAAGAGGAGAAAGAAGGAAATTTCAGCACGTTCGATATTGATGATTGCGACTCCTGGCCATATCCGATAACGCTTCGAGCTATCTCTCGGTCCCCAACGAGGGAGCCGTGACGCACCAACCGACCCTAACCTACCACAAATATTCTTCATCCCGCGAAGCCACATCATAGTCTGGCTGACCACCTCTCCGCCTTTTCCATCCCATGCAAAGGTTAGCGAATAGAGACATCGGTATGGAAGCCTCTGGCCACGGATGCATTCTTAAACGTCGCTTGACTTACTAGCCGGTAGGCAGTACGCCAGGGAAGGAGAGAATGTTAAGAGTGAACCTGGCAACCCCAGCCCCTCCCGCAGTTACAAACGGCACAACTACTACTTCTGGAACTTTGGAATTTTAAGGCCCTATGTTTCACTGTGAAATTCAGGAATGGATGTACACATATATGTGCTGTAAGACTGACATTTCACAGAATGACAAACTGATGTATTTGTAAACTGACTAAAGAAAAGTGCTAAAATGAACTCACGAGTAACAGTTGTTTGCATTGATGCTGTCTCAGAACCGACAGCTGAATGTGTAGCATGACTGTGTACACTACCACTAGACTGTCGAGTTCGACGAAGTTTAGGTGTTAAAGTGTCTTCTTCTTCTACAGAAGCAATTAATTCAGTTACAACAGATAAGGCAACTTCTGCTGGACGAAAAACAGGCGGTTCGCCTTTCTCTACCATTTCTTTTTGTTCTTGTTCACGTTTTCGTTGTTCAGCCATTACAGCATCCCATGTGACAAGACCACGAAGTTCACGAGAAACACGAGATTTGTCTGAATAAAAATTATGTTGAAAAATAAAACAATAATAAGAAACGAGTTTTTTTTATAATTTGCATGAGAAAGGGTAAATTGATATAACATTACACTGAAAGAAATATTTAAACGACTGATAACGTGTTACGTATGAAAGATAAATACACACATAGGTCGTTATCTTAACTTCTTGTGGATGTAAAACGCTATAAATATCATCCGAAACCAAAAAGCAATAAGTTGCGTAATTCAAACTGCAACTCTACTCGTCATCATCGAACAGAGCATAGAACGGCAGTCAAACCACCACCTTAACTTCATCGAACAATTTGAAAAGGTCTCCAACAACTTTGACCGGGAAGTAATTTGGATACTACTCCAACACTATGAAGCGCAGTACTTCAAATCTTTATCAACCTTATTCAACAACAGGCTACATGACAATGCCACATGTCATGTGATCCACAACGGGAAACTCAGCGAAGCCTTTAAAGTGAAGTCAGGAATAAGACAAGGCTACCTGTCTATTATCATCAATGATATTCTTAATTGTGGTGGACTGCATTATGCGTCAGACTCAGGAGAGAGAGAGAGAAGACAGGAATACGCTAGACCAGTAAAAAGACAGTAGAAGATATGGAATTCGTAAATGAATTGTGCTTAATTTCACTCACACAAACTCGAGGACTAGCAGGCGAAAACCGACAAACTGGCAGAAGCAGACAGGGAAGACAGGACTCCAGGTGAACATAGTGAAGACAGAGGTGATGAAGATAACCAACCAACCAACCAGTAGCGACAACAAAAACCAGCACCAATCACCATCAACGGGAGAGATTTCACAGAGGTTACTTCTTTCACTTATCTAGGAAGTATCATCTGAACTACAGGCGGAACGTAGAAGATGTCAAAGCAGGCCAGAATCGGAAAGGCAAGATAAACCTTCATCCATCTGAAATCAGTTTAGAAATAAGCTGCATTATCCCAGCGTAAACAACATGATTCGGACTTTCAACACCAAGGCAGTTAGTTCTTCTATATGGAACAGAAACCTGCACTGCGCGTCACGATAAGCATTTCCAACGGGCTACTGCAGCTGCCTTCACTGTATATTGAAGGTTAAATGGGCAGCGAGAAAGAATCAGCAAAAGAAACTATGGGAACAAACTAATCAAGAACCTATCGTTCAAGAAATATGTAGGAGAAAGTGGAGATGGATTGGGCATACGCTGAGGAGACCGTCGAATGAAATCGCGTGCAGTGCAGGTCATTGCTCGAGCGGAATTTGAATGGGAGGCGACGGGTGGGTCGTCAGTGCGAGGGTGAAATAGAGGAGATTGTGCAAGTTGGAGGAGATGAGAGGCTACGGACAATCGTGGATCCAGCTGAAGAGGACAGCAGACAATAGAACAGTGATGTGTTGTTGAAGCCCAGTGTTCCTACTCGGAACTCAAGTAACAATAATAATAAAGTTGCGTAATATGTATACACTACACAGAAGATGGTATCAGTATGTCAGATTAAAATTTGTCCAACAGATTCCTTATTTTGTACGGCAATGTAAGGCATTCATACTCCGGAGACTGATAGTAGTATAGAATATCCGTAGATACAAAACAATGTCCTCAAAATAATTTGAAAGTTTCAAGGGTTGGTTGGTTTTTAACGATTTGATTAATTTCGTGAAATCTGACCACGAACTGACATCACTGAAAGAACCATTGAAAACGATAGGGGAGTAGTACTGGACAACAGTTTCGTCCTAGGCTTGGGACTTTTCATCAGTACAAGTACCCATCACCGCACTAGGGATCGGATGCAGGACCTTGAAGTTACGAAGCGAGTCAGGTGACTATTTAGACACTATGCAGAATCCAGTGGCCCATCAATGTCACGAATTGGCGGAAGTTAGAAATGTTTTATCATTGGATTCTGTCCAGTGGCTGAGTGATTGACGACCGGACCTCGTACGCCCGAAGATCCTACATTCGATCCCTGGTGGTGGGATCATAGATGCGTACTAATGAAGAGTCCAGCACCAGAACGAAGCAGCTGTCCAGTATTTTCTAGTTTTCAGTGGTTCTCCCATAGAGGTCATTTCGTAATCTGACCTAGAATTTGAAATTTCTTAAGTTAAAAAAGGGTAGTGTCATTAGCCACTCCCCTCCCCCCCCCCCCCAACAAATAATACGCGTAGGTCATTGCCAATAGCATGGAAATGAGGACTGTTGCTATTGCATAACACTACATCTATTGCAGTTCCAGACCTTATTAATATGAAATTAAGCCGTAAAGAATACGAAAGCCAGCTACAGTTATGAAGAATAGAGCCATTCGTAAACAGATACAATGAGCAGTGGTTATAAGAAACTACAAAAATGTGACTAAGAGTTGAGTAATACGATCTATACTTAACAAGAGTATACGCTCTTCGTCTCATGTGCATGGGAAGTGTCATTATCTTCTAAAGTAACATAAGATTTCTGTTCCTTGTCCTCTAATGATCTTTTTGTAATATTCTGATGAGTATACAATTATTGGAAGTTTTAAACACGGGAAAATATGCAACCTTGATCCTTAATATGATAGAACTAAGCTTCTCCAATGGAAAGAAACGAGTGAGTCGTCATTGTGAGGGTAACATGGAGGAGATGAGAGAATATGGGCAATCGTGGACCCAGCTAAAGAGGACAGCAGAAAATAGAACAAAGTGGAGATGTGTTGTTCAAGACCTATGTTCCTCTCGGAATGCAAGGGAATAATAACAACAATAATAATAAACCACTACCGTTATATAAAAAGAATTTCACTCACTTTTAGGAGCAGTCAACTTGGGCACAAATTGACCACTACCACCGATAGTTTGACCACTATCCTTTGTAACTAATTCAGATGAACCCATGTTGCTGGGTCTTCCTGGGAAACCTCGATAAAATCCACCACGGTGTCGTTTACCTCTACCACGACGTTTTGATAAATGCGACATTATAGGACGAGAAGGTGGTAATGCATTTTCACTAAACACTGGTTCTAAGTTTGTAGAAGGAGTTGTTTCATTTCGATTTACACTGATATTTGATTGTTGATTATTTTCAACTGTGGACAAATTCATCACATTGATATCTGTACATATCATCAGGTTAGTAGGATTTTGTACACCAGAGGAGTTCAGTGCAGCTGATTGTTTGAATTTTTCATTCGGTGAATTCTGACTGATTTGTGTTTCTTGAGTTAAATCAATGAGATCAACACATTTTTTAGGTGAATGTGAAGTTTCCGAGGGATTTTGCAGTGTACCCAGGAGACGACGCATATTCATCTAAAAGGGAAGATTATTATTTTTTTAAAGTATATTGACTACTAACAAATTAATGACATGAAATGGTAATTGAGTATAGAGTGGAACATTTGAGACAATTTGAGATTACAAATACTCCATTCCCTAGGAAGTGAAGTTGTGAAATTGAATACCTAGACTGTCGACCTACTCAGGTCTGTCTGTTTTCGACATAGAACTTTGCACATATGTGCACCACTTCAAGTCGCCACACTCCCTCCATGCAGCACACAAAGCAAGAGAAGAAAGTAGGAGAAATGCATAATATAGACAGTAAACAGAGGTGTGAGACAAAGGAATAGTAATAACGAAGATCAATATAGTTTCATTGGAAATCATAAGTCACAAGGAGTGGATGCATCTGCGCCATCCATTGAGAACGACTTTGAGCCATGTCACCAATTGTTTCCAACCATTGGTTTTTACCGTCCCGAGGAACCCAACCAGTCAGGAAGTCTACACCTTCCTACGTGGCTTAGACTAACTGTTGTGGATTTCATTGACTGGTGCCATGTTTTCGATTGACCGCCGCTACCTACTCAGGTATCCTAGAGCGTGTACAAACAGCTCCGAAAAAGACCTTGTTCTTAGAAACTTAATTCCTCGGTCACAGCAACAGTGAAAGCATAACACAACACTTAAATAATACAGTAAACAGAGCATTCAATGAAGCAAAATTTCACTATATCTTCACAACCACTCCTATTTTAAGTTATGGAGTTAAAGATAAACTACCTAATTACACCTTTTCTATGAGTATCTATCAGTTTGACTGCTCCTGTGAAGCCAGTTACATTAGATGTACAATTAAGCGTGTTTATTATCGGATTTCCAACCATTCTGTATGGTTAAGCAAGGGACAGAAGAGGCATATTCACGGCTCTGTTTTAGCTCATCTCGTGAAAACAGAACATAAAATCGATGTTAACAAGGCTTTTAGAGTTATCCAGCGTATTTCAGCTAATCTCAATTTAGCACTACGAGTTCTCTTTTTACAATATATAGCTGAAGTCGCCAGAATACACTTTACGAAGTTTTCTCAGACGCTCTCTGAGCATTGATCATCATTACTTGATGCCAATAATCTGACAATTTCTCCTTTTCGCTAAGTATTTTCACAAATTACTATCGTTTGGCGAACTGTAGTTCTGCTAAACATAACAACTCAGTACCACTTAAGAAGAAAAATCACCCTTATCACGTAAACAGAGCAGAAGAAAGGAATTAGTAGTAAGCATAGCCAATGGGAATTTACTAGAGGAAGAATAATCACGCGGAGAATAACGACGATTTAATGGACTTTGGAGATATCATCAAGAGTGAATGCCCCTGAGCCATCGAGAAGCATTTTAAGTCATGTCACCAACAATTTCCAGTCGTTGGTTCTTAACGTCTTGATGACCCCATCTAGGTAGTCCACACCTTCACACGTAATTTGAACCAACAGTCAGACTTCATGGATTTATGCCATATTTTGATTTGGCCATAACGCGTCGGTGGCACAGCGGTCAGTACTTTCGCCGACCATGCATATGATCCGGAGTTTAATCCCCTGCCGACGCACACCTGGTATCAATGGTCGGATGCAAAATTTGGGCTACCGATATCACATGCTGAAAATACCATAGTTGTACCAAAAATACGGTGTGGAATCAAGCTATAATCAAAATAAACAAAAAATAAATCTTCCCCAACCGTCCACGACGAACAAGGTGATGGTGCGACATGAGTAACACATGTTCTCAGTCAATATAAGTCCACAATCTCACCAACTAACTGACTAAAAGTAATGGTATTATTTTGAATATACACAGTTCATCGCTGTATCGATTTGACAAGGTTAATTAATAGTTACTCAAATTCTTGATTTCGATATTGATTTAAACGTGTTGTAAAAGATTTCATTTCGTCAATGAACATGCATCTTTGACAGTAATATAAATATACCGCAACTGGTAAAATGACAAGCATTCTTCATTCCTAGAGACTTTATTTGCTCATCCAGTCAGAAGATTTCAACATAATGCTTTTTATCACATCCTAGTTATGTGTTACCAAGGGCGCTTGGTAAAGTAAGGTAGCCGCCAATCGATGGATTTGTGAAGCTATAATGGTTGAGATGGCTAGGACACGCGTGTTAGGCATACCGAGTTACCAGCTTCCTCGGGGAGCAATGGTAGCTGTCATAGGATTAGACTAGAAAAAGAGGGTTGAAGTAGGTGATCAAACCAAAATACTGGAATTAATCCATGAAATACTTGACAGGTGGCTAGCCACGTAGAGAAGTTTAAACCACCTGATTGGGGTCATCGAGAACCAACAATGGCTGGAGACCATTTGTGATATGGCCCGAAGTCGTTATCCCCAGTACATTTTCTGCTCATCGTAGTTCTTTTGAATCCCTTTCATTTCTCTACTTTTGTGTGCTATATATGGAAAGTGTGTGTGGCAACTTGAACTACTGCATTTCTATGCAAAGTTATAATGCTGAAATTCACTCACAATCACTGTTATGTTACTCAAATGATCTACAAATATATTCTCAAGTCGCATACACAAGTGCAGAGTATCATAAAATGTCCAGTACGTATATGAACTGGTTTTAGATTCAATTTGAAGTTGAATATTTTAGCAGCGATCTATTCATTCGTTCACGAAACGTACTCACTATACCTGCTTATCCACTATCTTCGATGCAACATGTTATAGGTTATCTAAAATAAAAATTATTTTGTATTGAGAAACAGCCCAAAATGAAAATACACTGTCTTTTTTGACCATATATATACATAGTTAGTCCTGAATTGTGAAATTATTTTATATAAGTCATGGGAAAGGATGAGAAAACCGGGCTAGTTCCAGCGAATTACTACTGTGGTGAGAGCTGGTTGCTAGTCAAAGTTGGTAGACAGTAATTGACGTCAATGTTTATGTTCCCAATATTGGTGGTGAGAAAATGAGAACAAAAGCTTTGCGTAGGCGGATACAGTTAGCATATGGATGATCTGACACAGCCACAAAGAGATGCAAGGTTAACTTTCTGTGAGAAATAACCAATCAAAAGACTGTATTTTATACTAACAATAATCTACAATAATGTACATTAAAATCTATAAATATGTGTTGATTTTCCTTAATAAACGATCTGTTGCCTGACCCTTGTCTTCTGTTGTTACACTACTTTAAATGATTTACAAGGTTTATTTGGAAACCAGGTACGTATGTGGTGTTTTATCTCAAAAAGCGTTATTGAATTCACAAGAATTACACAGAATCTAATAAATCAAAAAACAATTTGGAGAGCACACATCATCAACTTACAACAAATCGATGCACCCGTGATTCTGATAATTGTCGAAGCCATGGCATACACAGTTTGGATTTCGCTTCAGAATTTTCATTATCTGCTGAATCTAGGGTTGAGGGATTTCGGAGAGGGTTGGGCAACATAAGCGGGACCCATGAAGCTGGAAGTACTGATTGTTTTATTGAGGCGGAAGTGTTAGGAGAAGAGAAACCACCACGACGAGCACCTCGACCTCTGCGACCACCTCTACGTGCTCCTATACCCCTGCGGGATGGTGTATCAGGCTGATGATGGGTGATTGATGGAGGCGATGGGGCGACTGGAATCGGTCGACGAGGTATCGATTTCATTTCAACTACACAAGTATCTGTGATAACAGTGGAAGAAAATTAGAGGAATTGTAATCAGTAACACAACATAGGTAATAATGAAAGCTAATGAAGTATCCTGATAGATACCTTCACCTATTAAATAAACAGTACAAAATACAGTTTTAGGGTTCGTTCTTTCTCGAGGGTCCCTCAGCACACTAAGAGTTTCTGCTACTTGACAGGATTAAGTTGACGTTCTCCATACAGTAGTCTAGAGACATTAGTTGAGTAAGAGAGAATAATATTTTAATATTGCAAAAATGTTCATTCAGACAACTATAAAAACAAAATAATCGAGCAAAGAATATTCTTTTCGGTAAATTCCTCTTCCAGGCTCTACAATTATATATATATATATATATGTTTTTATACACAGAATATTTTAAATTAGTAGTTAATAACAATATTAGCGTTTTTTAAAAAAAATATCAATTTGTAAAGTAAGATCACAGTGGAATTACAGTTCATTAAAGAAGCTTAAATCATAATAATAAAGATATAATAGCGAATAGAATATCAACTAAAATTAGGGAAATTTCACAAAAATTCTGGATTATTCACACCTGGATGGCCAAGGTAATGATAATGACTGGACTAACTTCTTTTGGGTGCATAAATTAGGCTTATTAATATGAATCCCCACAGCCTCAGCAATATTTAGAAGTCGAACTCTTAAAGCGAAATTGAGATTCATAGGTATGCGGTAAATGACCCTGAAAGCATGATTAACGTCAATCTTGTGTTCTGTCTCCACAAGGTGCACAAGAATAGCACTGCGAATAGATTTTGTTTGACCTTTGCTTAACCAGGCAGGGTGATGTTCGGAAATTCGACGAGAAACACGCCTAATCGTACGGCCTATGTAACTGGCTCCACAGGAGCAGTTAAATTGGTATATACACATGGAAGAGGTGAAATTAGGCAGTTTGTCTTTTATTCCCGAACGCAGAAGAGGAGTGGTTTTGAAGATACAGTGTAATTGAGCAGCAGGGAATGCTCTTTTTACCGCATTTCTGAGGCGATGTGTTAGTATTTCACTTGTGTCTCCTAGGAACTGCATCTGTAAGAACAAGGCTTTCTTTGGAACTGTTGGTACCTTGGATTGTTTTGGTTTTAGATTCATATTCTTATCAATAAACTTTTCGGGATAACCATTCTCACTTAGCAACCGTTTAATATTGTTAAGCTCCTCGTCAAGACATTCATCCGAGCAAATCTCTCTTGCTCTGTGGACTAAGCACTTTATTAGATTGCGTTTGTATTTATTTTTAATTTTTATGTAGCTTGACTCCAAACCGTATTTTTGGTACAAATATGGAATTTTCAGTATGTGATATTGGTAGCCCAAATTTTGCATGCCAACCATTGATATCGGGTGTGCGTCGGCAGGAGATCGAACCCCGGACCATGTCCATGGTCGGCGGGAGTCCTAACCGCTGTGCCACCGACTCACGGTAAACTTAGGTAGCTTACCAATGGATTAACGATAACTACTATAATTTCTGGAGACTAGCTGTAGGTGACAACAGACGCCATATTATACACCAAGTACTTTATTCGTGCTTTAATGTCGATGCTATTTGCTAGTTATATAACATAAAGCCTAAATTAACACGAATATTAGGAGAAACTAATCACATAGGACCTTATCAGTCCAATAAGGAAGAGCATACATCAACGACCACAATATCCAGCCTACAAATAATTACCGCTAAAAATACTCACATATGTACACACAAGTTACCTTATGGACAAGAGATAGTTACGATAGTCTATCCTGGCTTTGAAAGCTTTGTGAATGAGAGCCCAAACTTATTGAATAAAAAGACTATAATCCGCAACCCAAGCTATCCTTATATCTATAGGTAAATGGAAATATTCCATGTAGATTTGTAGATTTCTATATAACAGTCAGTAGTGTGATCCATTCCATGAGTATCACCCATGGGTGAGCACCATAAGTAGAGTATCACTGGACAGAATTAGAATATAATTACAGGCAATGTTTACTGCTGCTCAACACTAATTATTAATTTGCACTTCTTGTCCCCCCGTATGACCGATCTGGTACGACCAAGGGTAGGTAAACTTCGGTCTTCCTGTCGAAATGCTCTAATATGACCACACGTTCATGACCCACTCTGCCAGGTACATCCTACTTCACTACCTTCACAGGCCGAGGGTGTTCTTCACAAAAGTGAAAGGGCGAATGCAAACACGTCTGGTGCTTACAACCGAACTGACGGACATCCAAATCTACCTAAGTGGTGAAGTGAAAAATCCTCATTCCAAAACTATGCTGGTGTAAATCAGCTGCAGAACTTGAAAGGATAGAATAGCATACGAACTTGCTTTATTATATTATTATTCTTCTTATTGCCTTTAATTCCTAGAGGAACATACGGCTTCAGCCGCACGTCTCCATTGCGTTCGGTTCTCTGCCAACGTTTTCCCTTGCTCCAAGTCTGCCCACACGTTTTCATCTCCTCTTTACATGACCTCCTCCAAGTCACCCTTGCACTGACGAACAACTCGCCGCTTCCCTTTCGAGTTCCACTCGAGCAATGGCTTGTCTAGTGATGTCACTTGATGGTTTGTTTCCTCAGAGTATGGCCAGCCAATCCATCTCCATTTCTTCCTGCGTATTTGTTCACAATCGGTTCCTGGTTGGTTCGCTCCCAGAGATCCCTGATGCTGATCTTTTCTGGCCAGTCATCGGATCTTGAGCGAAGTAGTAAGCGAAGGCAGCTGTCGATGAAGGTCTGTAGTTTCTTTGAAGTTCTCTTCATGATGCGCCAAGTCTCTGATCTGCATAGTAGCATCGACTTCACATTGGAGTTGAAAATCCGGATCTTATTTTTCAAGCTGAGTGCTGTTGACCTCCACACAGAATTGAGAGTAGTGAAAGCTTGTCTTGCTTACCCGATCCTTGCTTTGATATCCTCGTCAGTTCCGCCGGCCTGTAGTTGAAACGATGCTTCCCAGGTAGGTAAAAGAGGTTGTTTCTTTCAGGTTCCTTCCATTTAGGCTGATCGTTGTCTGTTGTTGTTGTTGTTCTTGTTCAGGAATTTTCATCACCTCTGTTTTCTCTATGTTCACCTGAAGTCCTATCTTCTGTGGATGATTGTTCTGCCAACTTGTTGCTTTTCGCTTGCATATCTTCCAGTTTGTGGGAAATCACACTTATATCATCGGCGAAGTCCAGATCCTCCAAGTTTTTTGTGTGGGTCAACGGAAACTAACAGAATACAACTCTGCTACTTTGTGGATCAGACTTCAAAAATAAAGGGTCCAAGGTGACTCGTTAAGACAACCACCGCCTGCTCTGATCTAGGCATCCGGGCAGTATTCTAGTCCTCGTACTAACTATGAGATTTAGTGAAGCGCATTTCTCGGTGCTGCCAATTTTGTGTTTTAAAAAATCAAAATAATAGTAAGCTTGCACTCCCTACAGTGAGTTGAATAAAATGAACGATATCTCTTAAACCTAATCAAGCGGTACAGGTTGAATCAACATTAAGGGGGGTACAAATGCTAATTGGAATTTGTAAATGACTTGACATAATCTACAAATCAAATTTACAAAGAAAACAAGAACCGCAACCATGAACTACTACACACTCGTAATGTGATTAAATATAATTTTGTCCCTGTGATAAGCAGCAATATCTTTAATGGTGAGTAGATGTAAAACCTTGTTAAAACACGACGGTGTCGTCGAAATGATTCATGATAGCTAGAAAAATCTACTTTATCATAATAACTTCAATTACTTCATCATACAAATTAGGCAAAAGACTACTAACACACCACACACCATCATATAAGAAAGCCAACAATAAACTGTGAAACAATTTTGACCCAGACATCATCATCACATCATAACACACACACACACAGGTGATAACGGTCAGACGGACTGTTTTCAAACAATTAAGATCAATAATCGAGATATTTCTAAAAAACAAATTTTGTTTCTTTTACTTTTGCATGAAGTGTGATATGCGTTAATGACTGACTGACCAAGTGGCTGGTTTCAACATAGAACTATTTTGCAGAGATGTGCAGCAGCAGTTTGAGTCGCCACACACTTCACTCAGCAGACAAAGCCAGAAAAATGCGTTTGTGTGTGTGTGTGTGTTTCTCTTCATGCGTTAATGAGAAAAAATTCCACTGAATTCAAAGTATGGAGTTAGTTTAGAAATAGAATATACAAGTCTAATCAAATATAGCAGTATTAACGAAATGGTAAAGGAAGCATCGCTTCAACTACTGGTGATATGGATGACGATGTCAAAGGCATGATCCGAAAGGTAAAATACACCTTCTGTTAGCCTAAAAACAGTCTGGAAATCTACTGCAATCAGAATAAAGAACAAGATTCGAATTTTCAACACTAAAGTCAAGTCAGCGTTTCTGTATGGTTCTTCCCGGTCGACAACTGCTACCTTGTCGTGGTGGTCGGGCTTGAATACCACAGAGACCCAACAAGCTAAACTGGCTGGGACTCATGTTCCTGTAGGTCCTACCATGTCAGGAAGGTTGTTTGGATATTGGTTAGACTAAAAGCAGTTACCACGGGGCTCCAGAATCCAATCGGATCAAATGGCGTATGAACCCACATGGGTCACCGGCAACCATGGGAACGTAGCTCCTGACGCTGCTCCGCTATCTTGCGGATTAGACTCCAAGTCAAAGGCTCGGGGGTTGGTCCCTTAAGAAAACCATCTGGTTCTGTCTGGGCGCCCATGCAGTATCTCAGCCCCCACACAAGTGTGGCGCATCTTCTTGGTGCTATATTGTACCAAGTTTTTCTGCGTTTAAATAAAATAACAAATAATTCTGCTTAGTTGAGAGACTTGGCATGTCACCAAAAGCATTTCAGGCAGACTACTGCAGACTTTTATCAGCATCTGCCTTCGCTGGTTCCATCTTGAAGATCAAATGACCAGAAAGGATAAGCGATAAGGATCTCAAGCGACGAACCAAACGATAGCCTACTAATCGATGAATATGGCGAAGAAAATGGAAATTGATCGGACACATCCCTAGGAAACCACTGAGTTGAATCGCACGACAGGTTGCTTGAATGGGACTCGAACGGGGGAACGATGAGTTCAGTGTGGAAGATTGTGGAAGAAATTGTGTCCAGAGGAGATGAAAGCCTACTCTTAGCAATCATGAGCAGTCAACTAAAAAAGGACAGCAGAGAACAGCGTGAAATGGCAATGTGTTGCTAATGCCTTGTGTTCCACTCGAAACCTAAGGGAATAATAGTAATAAAATCAAGCTTGCATATTCAAGCGACCAGAGGAAGAAAAAAATGAGTACAACTCTATGTCAAAGTAAAAAAGAAATGCCCAATAAACATGACCATAGAGTCTCATCAATAATTATCCGGTTGCTGTTGATGTGCTCATTTTATAAATATGATTATAACGGCAGATTACAATCGAAAGTAGTATGAGGCAATTAAAAAGGGGAAACAAAAATACATACAGAACTCACCTTTCAAATGAACAGCCAATTCGTCTATAGCAGCTATCACTGACTCGTCCACTGTCGAAGGTTTCCTTTTGGTTTGTTTCAACAATGCCTTCAATTCACGTTTATTTACTTTCCTTTGAGCATGAGAAGTAGTGTAATCCACAGTAACTAAAAGACAGTTTCCAACAACAACAATACCAGAGAAACTAACATTAGTCATATGCAAAACCCACCATAACAAAAGTTATCGGAACTCGAAATATAAGCTCACCAACAAACACAAATTAAACTGAATGATACAAAACTGTCAATTATTTACACCTCTACTCATAAGATAAACATACAATGACTTGTAAACCTCTTGCTTGTCACTCCTCGACGGGCAATGTTAGCTGACATAGGTTCAGGTTGGGAAAGAGCCAGTAGTGGTCAAACCAAAACATGGCTTTATCAGTCAATGAAATCCACAACAGTTAGTTTAAGCTAGCCAGCCACGTAGGGAGGTGTACACTTCCTGATCGGTTGGGGTCCTCGGGATGGTAAGAACCGATGTCGGCTAGAGACAATTATCAGTGATATGGCTCAAATCCTCGTTCTTAATGGTTGACGCAGATGCATTCACTCTCTGACATTTATCATGTCCAATAAAATTCTATTGTTCTTCCATATTACTACTCTGTTTGCCTCATACTTCTGTTTATTATCTCTCTACTCTCCCCTCTTGCTTTATGTGCTACATGGAGGGAGAGTGGCAACTCGAACTGCTGCACATTTGTGCAAAGTTCTACGTTGAGAGCAGTCAGTCAGTCTTGCTTGTCACCAGCAGCAGAACCTGATGGAACAACTCCAGAGGTGTTTAACAACAGTGGTGACAAACTGTTATCAGGATTAACTATGGTATTAGGTAATGTCTGACAATCAAAGATAGTCCTGTCAACCTGGGGTACATCATTGATTATCTCCGTTTATAAGGAGGGAGAAAAGTTTTCCTACCATAGGCATACTTATCGGCATGCTACACTTGCCATATTTCTTGACGTAAAGATAGCATTTAACTCAGAAAACCGAGAAGTGATGTGGCACTATCTGTCTGTGCCAAGAATGCGAGTCGGACTAAACATGATGCTTTACTTGAACTTGGGCAGTCGTGTAAGAGCTTATTGAGAATTATCATCTAAAGTGATGACGACCAGGTGCCCGTCAAGGACGTCCAATATCCTCATTACTTGCTTAGTTTCATAATAAATGTAACATAGGAATTAACCCTGACTGACTTCAGCGACTTAGGGATAAACTTGTTACCAGGAAACAGTCTTGTTGACTTAGAGTATGCGGATGATATTGTTCTCCTTGGTGAAGATGCTGAAAAAATTCAGAGCATGGAGCTATTGTTTTATTGATTAATGCATTCAAAACCTCAAACATCGATGTTTAGGCAGTTGGATAGTATCAAACATCAAGTGTGGTTCACATACAATTGTACAGCTTTATACATTATTCACACTTTATGCTAAAAATTGCGCTGAAGATGTTGTTCAGAAGGACGATGAAAGCTCCGCAACTAAACCAACCAACTCAGAGAACACTACTAATTACATTGTTCACACCTTATATTCTGAACCACCCTTAGTGTATGGTTGTCTATTTGTTGTACTAACTGGCTCAAGAACTACTGATAAATATACATGAGAAAAGGGTAAGATGCTTGAGTTTTGAAACCTACACTCTTGCGTGTGCAGCTTTAGCGGTTTAGAAAATTTTTTATTAAAAATGACTATGAAAACCAACCCATCTTGTTTTAGGCTATTCTTTCAGTAAGTTGTATTATTTTTTTTATTTTTGATTATAGCTTGGTGCCACACCGTATTTTTGGTACAAGTATGGAATTTTCAGCATGTGATATCGGTAGCCCAAATTTTGCAGACCGACCATTGATATCAGGTGTGCGTCGGCAGGGGATCGAACCCCGGACCATGTGCACGGCCGGCGAGAGTCCTAACCGCTGTGCCACCTACGCATATGTCATTCAACAACTACATAAATGTTAATACACTAAACAGTGAGTCATTTCTATTATTTGAGGGTTGATTTCAAAACCTAGTGATTAAAACACTAGACCCACTAATTGAAAGTCGAGTGTCCAATTAAATAAGGCAAAATAGTCAATTCCTTATGCATTTAAACGAACAGCTGGTGAAGAATCAGATTATGTACGGTAGGAACATCACCCATTCAGCATCAGTGCTACTAATTATAGCCGACATCACATAACATCCACGCGTCAATAGACTAATCGATGGATAATATAAATAAGATAGAAACCTAGCGAGGCTATACCAATGAAAATATTACTGTTTTTAGGGATCCGGAATAAAAATATTTATGAACAGTTCATACAACTTACCCTTATCTGGCTGACGAGGTTCGACAAAAACGGAGTTTTGTGATCCCATGAGATCTTTGGCAGAAGAGGCTTCACGAGTAGCTGATAGTAAAACAAAAGAAATATAGTAAAAATTCCCTAAAATAAAACTGTTGTGACCAAGATAATACTGGAATTGGGCTCGCCTGACAATAATACAGCCGATCACTGGACTATTACTTCCACACGGAAAAAAGAAATAGAAGACATACTGAGCAGGCAAAGATTTACTCCTTCTGTTTTAATAGGGACGCTTTCAAAAACTCCTCATCTGGACAGTAACTATGGCGAACATATATACAGAACTAAATATGAAAATTGAAACAGTTGACGTATTGCACAGTTAGACTGTCTAATTGCTTCATGTATACAATAACACAGCATGGAACAAAATATTACGATGTATAGTTATTCATCTCCTTACATACTAAAAATCTACTCCTACGGCTTTTAGAGGGAAAACTTTGAGCACGTTCATTTGGAAACAAACAAAACTGCTAGTTGCATAACATTTAAAACTGGAAGATACCAGTAGGTATTTCGATTTGTGCCATTCATGCAATACGGTGGACGAAGAGGAACGATAAGTGATTACCCCTTTTTCTTTTCTTCATCTACTCAACCAGTAACAGCCTCTATGATTACTAACGCACATTACTCGTATAGCGAGGTGATGACACCCAGATCGACATTGAAAGATGAAAGGATGACAATCCAAGCTTCGTAAGATTAAATTAACTATGTACAATAGTGATAGGATCCCACACACTTTGTTATTGTTCAATTATCTTAACGACTGTTAATCTCGCATAAGTGGTATATCATCATTTCCCACGCATCTTGTTATTGACTATTACGACCAATTATTTCAAATACTGTTAGCTGCCTGTATTGGTTGTAAAAATGTATAAATACCATTTCCTAAATAAGTTTCTTTGTCGTAGTTGTTGTACTACAATACACAGTCACAGACCAGCTTTTGTCTTTTGATATTTGCGTGGTTCGCTGAATCGGAAGGTACCAGAAGCAGATAGGCATATTAGTCAGGCGCAGACAGAACAAGGCGACAACGTCCTCATTAAATTCCCCTACAGTTATAACAAATTGGCGACGGGGTTTACTTTATTTCATTGCAGTTATAACAAACAGTATTGAATTAACCTGACCATGATGTAAAAGAAAAAAATTCGCCAATCAATGGTGGTAAATTGACATGGGCGGCAAACACAGTAAGTAGTAAAATGAAACAAAAATGGAAAGTGAAAGTCTATATTATTCTATGTACATCAAAAATCATGTTAAAACTCATTTGCTAAGTCCTAACAGTCGTGTTTTATGTTAGGATAAGATTACTAATAGGTTCCCAAAGCTAAAACAGTGACTGCATTTGTAATGTGTCAGGTAGTCGAATATACACATCGAAAATACAAACATCAAAAAGAGACGATTAACCACTTATTCTTAAGAAAAATTTTATGACAGTACACCAGTAAAATTGACTGAAATAGATAACTTATAAGAAGATAAATCACATAAAGTAATGAAATGCTTACATTCGTCATCATAGGGTACTTCATGTTCACTACTAAGTGCTGTAGGAAGTGAACTCTCACGATCCCTTGACTCATTACTATAGTCATCTGCAAAGTTTTTGAATGTAGTTTGATCGATGTTTCCATTATGTGTTTTTCTTTCCTTACCACGACGGCTACGATAGTCCACTTGTGATGAGTATTCATCGCCATCAGAGTTATTACGAAGTCTGCGGCTATGAACTGATTCACTGGATGTATCATCTGGTGTTTTTGAAAGGGCATGAGATGATTTCGATCCTGTGTCTGGTGAACCACAATCAGAGCGTATTTGAGAATCATCATAATGAGACTTCAAACTACTTATCAAACCATAACGACCAGACGATTTTGAAGTCCTTTGCCTTCCTTTACGTTTCATATCATCAGTTATAATTGACACATTCAAATAGTCGTGATTGTTTAGAATTGGAACTTTGAGACACTCTTAAGCTGCAAGATATTTGGAAATACACGTATACATAGTTGTGTTAAACGGTAGACTATATATATAAAACCAAACACTGAAGTTCCATAAACTGTCCACCTATGATGAGAAAATACCATAATTCCTACGAAATACATTTATCAGAAAAATAAAAAGTACTTTGTAGAGGTACCTTAGTTCACACTTCGAAATTGCATTCGTAAAACGTATTGGGCAAAAACACAAAGATGTGTAAGAAGGACGAATAGTTAAATCGCCACTGCAGACAGTTGCAATGACAGTGACTACATTTCAACTATTGCGAGTAATTTTGAGTCATTCCTACTCTCCAGCCATTAAACTACTGACACCATGAAGATAATACAGGTTTAGAATACAGGTGAGCGGCTCAACGTACTGGGAAAGTCATTCAGTTAGTCTAAGCCACGTAGGAAGGTGTAGACTTCCTGACTGGTTGGCGTCCTCGGGACGGTAAAAACCAATGGTTGGAAACAATTGGTGACATGGCTCAAAGTCGTTCTCAATGGCTAGCGCAGATGCATCGACTCCTTGTGACTTATGATTTCCAATTAAACTGTTTTGTTCTTCGGTATTACTATTTCTTTGTCTCACACCTCTGTTTACTGTCTATATTATGCATTTCTTCTACTTTCTCTTGCTTTGTGTGCTACATGGAGGGAGTGTGGCGACTTGAAGTGATGCACATATGTGCAAAGTTCTATGTCGAAAACCGACCGACCGACCGACCATTCAGTGATTAAATATCTGGAGAATCCAAACACGATGTGTCAAGTATGCATGCTTTAACCTTCAATCACAAAGACGACTCGATCACTGCCAAGAAAACCATGAGAACAAGACGGTGATGCCTGTTGCGTAAGCATGAAAGAACATCAGTCACCTAAAAAGGACTACATTCAATAGTATAATCCCAAAACTTGGAAAAAGTTGAGAAGCACTGACTACTTCTACGACCAAAATATAGTGCAATGAGGGCAAACAAAATTTACTTAATAGCCAAGAAAAATGCAAAATGTGAATGATAGAAAGGTTGATGAATAATAACGAAGTATTTATTCACATAATGGCTGATTAACATCAAGGTAGATAAGTGGAGTTTATAGGAAATGCGTGATTCCTTAGTATCTTGTAATTTATCTATAGGTTGACCAATTCAGACGCTTTCACTGATGTATCACTTCTAGTTTCTCATGATACAAATTATAAAGTAAATTACTTTTTGAACAGTTTACAGAAACATGATAGACTGAGGAATCAACACAGATGACAAAGTCACACTTCAAATAAACAATAATCGGACAAAATAGTACGATGCCACAGAGCTTATGAAGGAATAACCAAGTAGATATTAGTAATATTCAGAATCGAGAAAATGACACTCAGTTGATAAATTTGCGTCAATATAAGCATTCTCGAAGTATCTTACCAAAGTCTCTAACCTTGGTTCCTAAGCAGAGTGAAAAATTCTGCAAGGCGATCTACAGGAATGATCAGTGATTTTATGAATTAGTTTCATGTTTAAGTTTATAACGGGATTCGGTACAGACCCATTCAGTGGCATCATCTTACATTTGACAGGAGCGAATAACATACCAAACATTCGATGATTGCTGCTCAAAGTGATTAGTAAACTGGATTTTAAAAGCATCTTTACCTAGGAGGGCTATATCATCCATATATCCTAAGTCAACAAGACTATGCCCTGGTAACAAGTCAGTCCTCATGTTGCTGAAGGCAGTTAGGACCAGTTCTATTGGTACATATAGTTTGAAAATACACAGATGGGGACAGTGGGGTTACCTGACGGACACCATTGTCTGTCGTCGATTCAGGTAACAACTCTCAATAAGCGAGCTTGAGTAGTGTCGTTATTAATGCAACTAACCTTTTGAGGACTTCTTCACAGCCAGGCACTGCCACAGCACTTCTCTTTCGGCAGAGTGAGATGTCCCAGGATCTTACGAAGACTGAAGCTACGGTTAATACTACCGTTTCCGGGCCTAACAGATGAATGTAACGCATTGCAACCATAAGACACTAACTTTTGTCACTGCGACCTCAGGAAAATACATGAGTCCCTGTAATATACGAGGTTTTTATCAGCCCAACGATTTTGAGAACTGCGACCCTGCAGCTCTGCAGAAGGATGAAAGCTCACAATAGAAAGGTAATGAGCTAACGCTACGCATCCATTTGTCAACTTTGTCCTCTTCTCTTTCAAAACCCCATCACTTTATGTTGCACACAATTTCTATAAATCATTCTGACATCCAAATTTCCTGAACTCGAAATTCAACCCCCACTTTTAACCTTGGTTATTCGACTTTTATTTCGACGGTGATATTTGGTCATTCAAGTAGTGGATGTTACCTACTAAATTTAAATAAGAATATTATATTTGCCTAACCTAACCAATGACTACAAATTTCGCACTACGTGAAGGAAAACTCCGCAGAAGATTGCAACTATAATCCCAATACTTTTTAAACTTGCAGAGTCTGGCAACTTGAACACACAAACCTCCAGACAGTTCATACTGATTCACCTACTTTGTGTGCTAAATGAATAGCGAGGCATGTAATTAAGTAATCAGATAAAGTCCATAAGTAAATCCATTACCAGGTCGTTTAGAGAACGGTAAACATTACGACTACAAACATGAAATTATTGGTAATACGTGTAGCCCAAAAACTGATAAACAGCACTCAAAACGTGAGAACTGGTACTTGAAAATACACAGTACACGGTGTAACTAAGCGGTATTTTATTTCAGAAGTTCAAAATATCAGTTGTAAACCAATTAGCACACAAAACAAAATTCGCAGTGAGCAACAAGTAAACGCAACTATCGGCTAGGAGTGATTTTTGAAACATCGAACATGTTAATTTACCTCGTGACCAATCATGTCTTCTGTCTGGGAGCAAGTATTCCTACCTGGCAACTCAAGGCTTGATACACGCGCAACACCACCCACAAGGACCACTTTTAAGAGTAGAAGCACTGTGCATTGGTCACATTACTACTAATAAATGCACAGAAGAGCTAAGGCGTCTCCTATGTTGGATTATAATACACGTTTAGAAATATTTGTAAAGCATAGAGGCGTTCTTCAATACTTTCAGAATTTGATATATGACGGTTTGTCCAGAAATAGGCTGATATATAGGCACGTGAACCGCACACTGCGTAAGGCCCTTTCCTGACAAAACCTGGAATTAGAACAGAGCTTTGCAAGGACACATTTTCCAAAAACACATTTGATCTCCCAACAATAGTTGAGAAACTTCCCAAGGGGCATAAGAGTAGCTTAGCATTTGCATTCACTTAATTACTGAGATTACATATTCCGGTTCTTCCCTCAAAATCTAAGCTTTCCCATAAAAATTTTTGAATAATAATGATGATAATAGATTACATTGGATTTTTCCACTACTGACATGCAATTTGTTTGACATGTTGAAAAAACTAATGCACACAAATTACAATTTATCGAATACAGAATTAAAGAGAATGCACATAAAACTCACTTTTCAGTACTTCAGGGTTATCATAGACGATAAATGTACAAAGGACTCCTCAAAGAGTAATTGTAAAATAAATCCCGAAAACATACGACAAAACCGAAAGGACTTCCAAAGTGACCGCCCAAAATTCACAAGGTCTTATTACAAACAAAGTGGTGATATATGGCAGCTTTCCGAACTACGTAATGAAGCATCTAGTTAATTACTTTTTTGTTAACATTTTTGCTGGGGACCAACAGGGTTGTTACTCTAAGTTAGAATTTTCTAAGGGAATGATAAAATAATAAGAGCAGGTCAAACTGAAAGATAAATTTCTGTAACTACATCAGGATATCAACACAAAATCCCTTCTGTATGAAGAAGGTGTGGTTGGAGCTTTTCGCACTAAATATATCACACCTATAGACGTCAAAAAATACATATAAGGTATGCGATGCTTTGTTATCTGTACGTGCTAAGCAATATTCACAAGTGCTTTTATATGTAATGGACATGCACTTATAAAAACGCACAAGCAGGAGATGAGATATATAAACACATCAGGAGGTTTATTGTGAATTCTTCTGGTAACCACTATAAACGCTCGTCTCATGAATTATTCGGCTTTTCACTGTTTTAATAGATTCAACTAAACTTTGTCCTTCTTATTTTAAAAAGTTTGTATGAAAAGCAGTAGATCTTTTCGCAAGCAAAAGAAGCGATCTATATGGTACAGTCACAGCTGGGAAATTTCACTGAAAATTTCTTTACCGCATGTGCAAAACATTACACCTCCAGTGGTCTAAAGTTTTCCTTGCGTCTTAGCCGAATTAGTCGAATCCCACTCATCATAAAGACTGTAGTACCCCTATACCAACTATAAACATACGCTTTTCAATCTAATTTACATACTTATATTATGTGTTTACACAGACCGGCTTTATATGTACTTTGTAAGCATTTGTCAATTTACTGTTGAACATTACCTTGATACAATTTTGAAATTTGACTACTGCTATAATACACGATTACACACCTCACAAGTGCCTTCTGGTTTTACGTTGTGGGCGTCGAGTAGCCAAAACGTCTACGCACATTGACAAACGTGAAGAAGTACTAGAAAATACGCGTACGCTAATCTAGTCAAATAGAGCACGCAACAAGACTTCCTTATGCTGTCACAATTACTCCTCAGTGAAGCCGCTTTATTCCGCCTCTTCATCTAATTCAAGAAAATTGGGTTGTAATTCACTGGGATCTATGGGAATTATACTACAATAATCAGAATAGTTTCATTTTCTTGAACAGAAACCAGCTATTGTGACAGGCATGAACTTATGTACACCAAATGAAAACTGATAGAAAATATGATATGACTTGTCAAAATAAATCCAGACTGCACACAGGTTTACATTACAAGAATTCTAAATAAGTACAAATAACTTGATAAGCAATTTTTGAAATTCCATTTAAATCGAACAAATCATGACATATTTACCCTATTTACCCGGTACGTTCGAATCAGGTGACGCTTTTGCACGTGTTTTCGTTTATATTCATTTATTGCTTACTGTTGATTGATCTTTAATAACGATGGGCCGAAATTCTAAAAAGAGTGTTCGTGTGAACACCAGTAATTTAGAAAATAGCACCAGCTCGTCTAATAACACATTACCACCCCTTATTATTAGTAGTTCACCCAACATAAAAGACTCGAACATAACTCTGACCCCTGTAATACAGGTGGAAGATGTTCTGTCTGAAAAGGTAGAGCTCTCTTACATAACATGCATTATTAAAGAGATACAGCTACAGATACATGAATTAAAAACGAAATTAAGTTCATCATAATGTATACCCGAAACCATCTCACTTATGAAAAAGGAACTGCAGGGTCCTACAATCCTAAAGCTTTTTAATGTGACCTCTAGAATGACGCCTACTGACTCAAAAAATGCGAAGGAGTTAGAAAACGCCATTGAATTTCTATCCAGCGAAGTTATTAAAATGCTGGCTTCGAAACAAAACGCTATAGTGTATAACGTACCAGATAGCGAGCCCATAAAGTCGGTCCAGCACTCATTGCTGAAGGCTGCAAATCTCTTGAGTGCACCTTGTCAGTGCACTCGCCTAAGTAAAAAAGACCTAAAGCATCAATGCCCCATACTCTTTAGGTTCGACAGCTACATAATAGCTGAACGATTTAAGAAGGCCGAAGATCTTCTGGCTACTGCCACTAAATTCAGGACTGTTAAAGTAGTCTCGGATAAAACACCTGACCAAGGGCAAACAACCAAGAACTCCTTCGATACAAAGTTGACCACACCGAGAACTACACCTGTTATCAGTGCTAAAGCGTCGACGGACACTGAAGCACAGCAAGTCACCTGTATAGTGTTGGGAGAAAATAATAATAATTTTTATTTCTGGAACAGAAACCAGCCATTTTTACAGGCATGAACAAATGTACACTAATTAGAACTTATAGAATATATATGATTTGTTAATCTAGAAATAGATTGAATACTGGTAAATTTGAGAGAAATATTTAAAAATAAATGTACAAATAAGGCAATAGGTAATTTTCGAGATATGCTTTCAACTGAATAATTCATGAGGTATAGCATCAAATCAAAACTGTAATTGAAAAAAAATGCGGTATGTCAATTTCACGCGGGAATTATAAACGATTACGTTAATTGTGGAAGTTAAGTAGCATTTTTGTACAGTTGCTGACGTGAAATATAAGAGATGCGGAATGAACAGTAATTGTAAGTAAATGATTCATAGAGTGTTTGAAAGCCCATAAAACTTCAAATTCACCGGAGAGTACACCATAATTCCAGTTGTATATGAGACCAACTTTGAACTTGTCAGCAGATTTCATGATAGAGGTGGTTCCGTTATTCACCAGGTGGGCTAGCAATATTCCGAATTAGTTGAGGATAGCGGCACTGTTTCAGTGCCTTCGTTTAAGGCAGTACCTTTGAAAAGAGAAGAAGACACAAGGAAACCGACAGAGAGGTGCAGAAGTATATAATAGGTGTTAATTATTCAAAACATATATAAAAACATGGGGTTCATCATTTTGTTGTTGTTTTTTTTCATTTAAAAAATACTATTTCCCCCTGAGATTTTCTAGTGATGGAATTCTAGTCTTTCTTGCGAAAAGAAAAAACAAAGTTTAAGTGAAAAAAGATAATTTTACCTACTTATATAGGTTGAATATGAGTTAAACACAAAAGTCAAAGTGCGTGAACTATGTAGAAGAAAAGCGAGGGCTTAATAATAACTACTGTTTTTCTGAAGTATACATTTAGGTGTCCTTCTGAAGTAGGGGACTCATACCATGTACTTGCATTCGAGGAGTTTGTTATTTAAACTTCAGCTTTAGGCAAATTTTCAACTTCTGTTGTCTTTTTTTATTTTATTCTCTTATTTTGCAGAAGCCATTCGAACTCAGGAGCCTTAACAATAGAGTGCTGTCCCACAGATAAGGGTGGTTCTCATATGTCCCCACCATCATATCCGCTGACTAGCAATCACCACCCTCCCACCTTTTTTGTGCAAGGCCGAAATTCTAAAAAGAGTGTTCGTGTGAACACCAGTAATTTAGAAAATAGCACCAGCTCGTCTAATAACACATTACCACCCCTTATTATTAGTAGTTCACCCAACATAAAAGACTCGAACATAACTCTGACCCCTGTAATACAGGTGGAAGATGTTCTGTCTGAAAAGGTAGAGCTCTCTTACATAACATGCATTATTAAAGAGATACAGCTACAGATACATGAATTAAAAACGAAATTAAGTTCATCATAATGTATACCCGAAACCATCTCACTTATGAAAAAGGAACTGCAGGGTCCTACAATCCTAAAGCTTTTTAATGTGACCTCTAGAATGACGCCTACTGACTCAAAAAATGCGAAGGAGTTAGAAAACGCCATTGAATTTCTATCCAGCGAAGTTATTAAAATGCTGGCTTCGAAACAAAACGCTATAGTGTATAACGTACCAGATAGCGAGCCCATAAAGTCGGTCCAGCACTCATTGCTGAAGGCTGCAAATCTCTTGAGTGCACCTTGTCAGTGCACTCGCCTAAGTAAAAAAGACCTAAAGCATCAATGCCCCATACTCTTTAGGTTCGACAGCTACATAATAGCTGAACGATTTAAGAAGGCCGAAGATCTTCTGGCTACTGCCACTAAATTCAGGACTGTTAAAGTAGTCTCGGATAAAACACCTGACCAAGGGCAAACAACCAAGAACTCCTTCGATACAAAGTTGACCACACCGAGAACTACACCTGTTATCAGTGCTAAAGCGTCGACGGACACTGAAGCACAGCAAGTCACCTGTATAGTGTTGGGAGAAAAAACGGCAAGTAAAAGTGACTCGAAACTCAGTGAGAGCAGTGTCACTGGGTGCAATCTTAAAGTACATGAGAGCACATCTTGAAAATCTGCTGACATACATGAGGTTGATATTGACTCACAAACCATGGCTGACCAGAAACCACTGGCTGACCACACACAATCTGGATGCAAGCCCGAGAGTCCCGCAGTAGAAACTGCAAGAAAGATCACAAAGCCTAGAGTCCCACTCCAGACTTCGACATACCTGCCTCTCAATAAGTCTAACAAGCAACATGTCAGCCTAAAAAATGACAGCGCATGGGAAAAAAACATATTCCCAAAAACGTCATCCATCATATGAGCAAGAATACCCCTTCCCGAACTATGAGTAACATGCCTAGCAACGCACACAGCTTGGGAATGCAACGTAGAATGGATCATTAGGATATATGGAGCACTAAACGGGACTCATATAGGCACCATAATAATGAACATTCTCGTCCAAACTCTCACACTATCTATGTTAAACCTCAGCAATGAGTTTACGTCGACACTTTACCCTCTCAATAACTTCACTCACACATGTGATGTGAGCCAATATGCATACGACTATGAAAGAACCATGAGGTACAACTACCAAGGTAATCTTATCACAGGGTACCTAGGTCAAGCAAACTATATATCACCTGTAAATGAACGCAGATGCCCACCCATGGATGATAAAAGTCAAAACATGCAACAGGATTATTTTCGGATGCAGAAAACAATAGCTCC